AGGTGACATAAAAAGCAGTAGGGAAGTCATACAAACTAACATTTCATACAGACAATGACTTGTTTGTACTGCTCTATGCTATACACTGAAATGTAAGCACAAGATTTATATCCCAGTTGATGTATTCTATAATTATAGGGTAAAAGCGAGAAAGTAGCAATCTCTCAGTAATACTGTGCTGTGACACTTTTGTATTCTTAGGTCTGATTTTGTACGCAGGTAGTTTTTGAGTGAGGTGAAACTTGGGGGTACGCAAGACAGATCTGACTCCTGAAGGGGGCACAGCAGCCTGGGAAGGTTGAGAGCCACTGGACTAGATGATCACAATGGTCCCTTCTGACCTTACAGTCAGAGTCTAAAGATGCTCCTTCAGTCACTGTAGGTGCTCTGTCCTAGCCCAACTCCTCCGGATACTGTGCGAGGTAACTGGGGCCTAGCCGGTGAGAGGAGCTAGTCCCCAAAGGTGCTGCTCACCCAGCACATCTCACCTTTTCACATGCGTGTGGAACAAAGGAAAGCACTGATGGACATCCCTGATTTAAAAGACTCACTTCTCCTCCTGTCCCCATCAGACCTTCCACCATAGACACCCCTGCACCCCCAGGACAAGTGTCAAGAAAACCATAGCTTCTTTTGGCTGCTGGGAGAATAAAATAAAAACCAAGCACCAACTGCAGCTGATCTGCTGACTCAGCTTCCTGTTGTCAGCCCAACAGTTGCCGGGAGCCAAGACTAAAGACAGGAGGAAGTCAGCTGTTCCTCACCCCAGCAGGAGCCATCTCTGCAAAAACCACTAGCAGTGGGGCTGCACGCTCAGCGTTAGCCCGGGTTTCAGATTGACTGGCCGTGGAGGAGCTGCAGTGGAGTCTCAGGACTGGAGGCTCCCTGGCACTCCGTAATGGTGACAATGCACGTCCTCAGTGACAGCCCTGTCGGGAATGGAGCAGGGGTACTGAGGAGCTCACGGATGCCTTAGAGCCAGCCTCAGCTCCCAGGAGACAAGGTACGGAATGAAGCAGGAGCACAGGGAGCAGGAGAGTACAGCTAGTCCAGACCTGGACCTGGGGCTGTAAGGCTGGCATCGAACTGAGAGCGTTCCACGCGCGCTTTGCACTCAGGTATGTGGCCCAGCAAGGGGACGTACTGTGGAGAATCAGGCCCGCTGCACTGGAACAGTAGCTCTGGCCACTGGTGAGCTCCCAGATGCTCCAGTCAACAGAGATCGCGGTCTCTTCTTCTAATAGGCTGGAAGGAGGAAGAGGATCGTCTGTTATTAACTGGACAAGAACCAGCTGATCAGTAGCCAAGATGCGGCTCAGGTGGTGGGAGGAGAGCAAGCGGGAAGCACTTGGGCTGTGGCTGCAGGCTGACGGCCACCCAGCCTGGTAGCCTGCTGGTAGCAAAGGGCCCCGAGGGCAGGAGCACAACAGTTGTCTAGGAATGTCACGCTGCATTCACAGAATGAGGGTCCAGGAGCAACTCTCAGCATAACCCAATGACGCTGGGACTGCCCTGGCCCCACAACACTATGCCCAGATCTGGTCCTGAATAGCACTGCCAGGCAGCACAGCACTGGCCACTGCTACGAGCGGTTGGAGATATCCCTGGTCCTAGAGTAACTATGTGAGAAACAGGGCTACATGGTCCAGTCACACTACAAGCACAAAGAGAGCTGTAGTGATAGACGGTCCTGCCCTGAGAGTGGCTGCTCTTAAACCTGGCATGGGCAGGATTCACATGTGTCTGTCCCCATCACGCTCCCGGGATATTCAAGCCAGCTTGGATGGCATGGCACTGAGCGAAACACACCTGAACCACATGTCACGGACAGAGCCGTCGGCCCAAAAGCAACTACAGCCTCCTGCCAGAGTCCCCATCCTGCTCTCCACCTGCACAGGGATCTGTGTGCTCTGTGAATGACACCAGCTGTCTGGGAATGAGTTCCTGCTGCTGTGACGGGACAAATTCCAGCACAGGGGGCAGGTGGCAAAACACGGACATTGATGGTAACAATCCTGTGTTCATTTCAAAGAGAAGCAAGGAGTTCTTGTGGCAACTTAGAGACTAACAAATTATTTGGTCATAACCTTTCATGGGCTAGAACCCACTTCATCAGGTGTATAAAGTAAAAGATACAGGAGCAGGTATAAACACATGAATTCAGAGAATATCAGGGTTGGAAGGAACCTCAGGAGGTCATCTAGTCCAACCCCCTGCTCAAAGCAGGACCAATCCCCAACTAAATCATCCCAGCCAGGGCTTTGTCAAGCCAGACCTTAAAAACTTCTAAGGAAGGAGATTCCACCACCTCCCTAGGTAACACATTCCAGTGCTTCACCACCCTCCTAGAGAAAATGTTTTTCCTAATATCCAACCTAAACCTCCCTCACTGCAACTTGAGACCATTACTCCTCATTCTGTCAATTGATGTATCTCGGTAGACTGACCTAACTCTTGGTAAAGCAACCCACATCCTTTCATGTATTTATACCTGCTCCTGTATCTTTTACTTCATACACCTGATGAAGTGGGTTCTAGCCCATGAAAGCTTATGCCCAAATCATTTGTTGGTCTCTAAGGTGCCACAAGAACTCCTCGCTTTTTTTTTTTTTTTTTTTGCTGATACAGACTGAAATGTTTCAGGGTAGCCATGTTAAAGAGACAAAGAGTCCTGTGGCACCTTATAGACTAACAGACCTATTGGAGCATAACCTTTTGTGGGTGAATACCCACTTTGTCAGATGTATTCACCCACGAAAGCTTATGCTCCAATAAGTCTGTTAGCCTATAAGGTGCCACAGGACTCTTTGCCACTTTTACAGATCTAGACTAACATGGCTACTCCTCTGATACATTTCAAAGAGAGTGCACCATAGGCTCGCTGAGTAAAACAAATACTTAACGCACACCAAGCACATGGCAACTAGTATAAAATAATGTACATAGTGTTTGAATACTATGAATAACATTTAAACAAAGGCTGTTCCACAGTAAATCTACTGCCTTTCTTCCCATAGGCGTTTCCCCTTTCGTTTCTGTTATAAGCATTCAAATATAAGGGTTCCACACCCCCTTTTCTGTACTTTAGCACACTCCTCTAGCACATTCCCCTTGAAGCTTTCCCAGAGACCATGTAGTGTCCCTTCCTTTGGGCCTTCCTCACACATTGTGTCCTGCACTAGGGCCTTGGCCAAGTTGAGAGGTATTGCTGTGATTGCTACACAGCTGTCTCCTTCCACCACACAGCTAACTGCATTTCACTGTTTGGGGAAGATCTCTGGATATAAAAAAAATCAATAATAAATATCTCTTCTGTATAGGGCTTAAATTTTCAGAATCCTTGACAACATTAACTAATCAGTCCTCAGTCTGTTGTGGAAGGGAGAGAAGGAAATATTATTGTCACCAATTTACAGAGGAGAAACACGGTTTGTCTATTTACTGATGCCCTCCAAAGTCCTCTGACAGGTCCTAGACCTAGAGGAACACCTCATACCTGACACCAGGATTGTACCATCTGAACTCGCCAGACTACACACATTCACAAACACATACACACACACACCCCCATTGGGTCCAAGCTCAAAGCAAGGCCCTTTTTTCTTAGTTGTTTCTTCTTAGATGCCACAGACAAGGTGTGCTTAGTAATACATCTTATTACTATTGACTAGTGTAAGGACTTGAGAAGACACCTGCTATATGAAGGAATGAACCTACTAGCTAGAGGCAGAAACGGAAAGAGGAGGCTAGGGTCTCCACTGGGGAGGGATGGCGCAAGATCCAGCTGAGAAGCCTAGCTCCTTGCCACCAGCTGCTGGGGGAAGGTCTTTCTACCAGAGTACTTGGAGGCACCATCTTTTAGATCAGCCTCTGCTAGTACAGTGTTTCTCATTGTGGGGGTTGGGCCCACAGTTCATGGGGGCACAGAGCAGCTATACAAATCCAGCTACACCCTCCCTCCTACATTGCAAACCTACTGCCACATCTGCAAGTAATTCCAGGGAAGCCACTCACCTTCCCCCGAGTACGGCCACTAATGCAGCGGGCTGTAACCACAGCCCACATGGACAGCCTGCCAGCCCAGCCAGCAGCCTGCCAGCCCGAGCTTCTCTCCTTTGCTCCCGCAGCTCTCAGCTCAGCCTTCGGGGGGTGGGAGCAGGGGGAGGGAATGAGAAATGAAATGCCCAACAGAAGGGCCAAGAAGGGGGTGAGCAGAGTCTGCAAGAAAGACAAAACAAGGAGAATAAAACTGACTGCCTGAAGGGAGAGAAACCAGAGAGAAAAGGGAGGAAGGAGCCAAGCCAGGAGAGGCCATGTCAGAGGCTCCTTGCATGGCACCAGGAGCTGGGAGCAACACTCAGCCCTTCCCTGGGGCACCACCAAAGCCAGTCTGGAAGTTGCTGGGCTGGCAAGTGGCCAGTTGATGCACAGCTCCTGCCCCGCGTGGCTGCCTTAGGGGAACAAGAGCTGGCTTTCTTTCTGTCCACCCTGGGGGCACCAGGCTGCAGCCCCCTCCCCCCAGAGCCCCCAGGCTGCTGAGGGGGTGGGAGCAGGAGGCTCAGGGCTGCTCCAGCTTCTCCACCCGCCCAGTTCCAGGGCCCGCCTTCCTCTGCAAAGTGCGGGCTGGCTCCCGGCAGGAGACCCGGCCCCGGCAGCGCACAGCAGCCGCCAGAGCACAACCCCCCGGCCGGCTCAGGCCGCCGCTCCCCTGCCGGGGCGGGGCCAGGAGACGAGGCTCCCCGCCCGCCCGACGTGCGAAGCCGCGCCCCTTTCCCGGGAGTGGGCGGGACTACATCCCTTGACAGGCAGGTAACTTTCCACCGTCCTCCACGTGGTCCGGCCGGACACCAGCCCCTAGGCTCGGATTGGCTGAAGATTTACAGTGCTCTCGCCCATCTCTACAGCGATTGGTCGCTGTTGTGAGCCCGGCACGCCCCCTTCGAGCTCCTGCCCCTAGCTCTGCCCCGGCTTGCAGTTTCCCTGGGCAGACGGTGGAGGAGGTTGGTACCGGCAGGCTGCTAACCATGATTCTGTGTCCCCCGAGCACGGAGCACCCCCGCGGAAACCAGTGCCAGCGGCTGCAGGGCCAGGTGAGCGCCAGTGTCCCCCAGTATCCCCCCCCCCGCGGAAACCAGTGCCAGCGGCTGCAGGGCCAGGTGATCGCCAGTGTCCCCCAGTATCCCCCCCCCCCCGCGGAAACCAGTGCCAGCGGCTGCAGGGCCAGGTGAGCGCCAGTGTCCCCCCCCCGCGGAAACCAGTGCCAGCGGCTGCAGGGCCAGGTGAGCGCCAGTGTCCCCCAGTACCCCCCCCCGCGGAAACCAGTGTCAGCGGCTGCAGGGCCAGGTGAGCGCCAGTGCCCCCCAGTATCCCCCCCCCGCGGAAACCAGTGCCAGCGGCTGCAGGGCCAGGTGAGCGCCAGTGTCCCCCCCCCCCGCGGAAACCAGTGCCAGCGGCTGCAGGGCCAGGTGAGCGCCAGTGTCCCCCAGTATCCCCCCCCCCCCGCGGAAACCAGTGCCAGCGGCTGCAGGGCCAGGTGAGCGCCAGTGTCCCCCAGTATCCCCCCCCCGCGGAAACCAGTGCCAGCGGCTGCAGGGCCAGGTGAGCGCCAGTGTCCCCCCCCGCGGAAACCAGTGCCAGCGGCTGCAGGGCCAGGTGAGCGCCAGTGTCCCCCAGTACCCCCCCCGCGGAAACCAGTGTCAGCGGCTGCAGGGCCAGGTGAGCGCCAGTGCCCCCCAGTATCCCCCCCCCGCGGAAACCAGTGCCAGCGGCTGCAGGGCCAGGTGAGCGCCAGTGCCCCCCAGTATCCCCCCCCCCGCGGAAACCAGTGCCAGCGGCTGCAGGGCCAGGTGAGCGCCAGTGCCCCCCAGTACCCCCCCCCGCGGAAACCAGTGCCAGCGGCTGCAGGGCCAGGTGAGCGCCAGTGCCCCCCAGTACCCCCCCCCCGCGGAAACCAGTGCCAGCGGCTGCAGGGCCAGGTGAGCGCCAGTGCCCCCCAGTACCCCCCCCCGCGGAAACCAGTGCCAGCGGCTGCAGGGCCAGGTGAGCGCCAGTGCCCCCCAGTATCCCCCCCCCGCGGAAACCAGGGCCAGGTGAGCGCCAGCGCCCCCCAGTATCCCCCCCGCGGAAACCAGGGCCAGCGGCTGCAGGGCCAGGTGAGGACGCAGGTCACTTTCCGTCCCAGTTTGGGGGCCCCCCACCCCAATGCACTCAGAGCTGCGTAGACCTTCGCGGCCTCCAGTGGCCCCCGCCCCCTTCTCCCGGGCTCATCCGCCCCTGTCCCGGAGGTGGGGGAGTCCCGTGGGAAAGTTGGGGAAGGAGCCTGGAAGCTGCCGCGGGCACTTTGCCTCGCTGCCCGGGCTCCTGGCCCCGTTCCTCCCCACGCACCTTTCCTAGCCCCGGGGAGCGCTGGCCGCCGGAGGGAACCGTGTCCTCTCCTGGCCCGCAGCCCGGCCGGCAGGTGCCGGGGCAGGAGCCCGCAGCATCCCCCGAGCCCGGTGCAGTTCTTTGTCCTGGGATGCTGGATGCTTCGTCCTCCCCATCACTGCCAATCAAAGTTGTTTTTCTCCTTTCCTCCCGCACTTCCGCTGCTGCCCGCCGGGGGCGCTCCGCCTGCGCTGCGGCCGGCGAGAGACAATGGGGCGGGCCGGGGCCGGGCGCTCTTGCGGGGGCAGAGGCCCCGGGACGTGCTCGCTTCCCTCCGCTGCTGCAGGGGAGTCCCGGGGCCTGGCCCGAGCGCAGTGCTGCCGTTCTGGGGCTCTCCCAGGGCCTGGCTCCCTGGAGCCCCCGCCAGCCTTCAGAGCAAAGCGCGCCCCGTCCCCCTCCCAACCCTGCACTGCCTCATGCTGGACTCGCCATTGCCCAGGGAGAGGGCCCTGTCTCCTGGCCCTGACAGCAGCCCCCCTGCGCTCTGTATCGGGGGGCTGTGCGGCGTTCTGCTGGAGGTCTGCCTTGGTACCCAGTGGGCGCTGCCGCCCAGCAATGCAGTCGTCTAGAGCTGGACTCTGATGCCTCAGGAACAGCGAGTCTGGGTCCTGTGTCTCCGCCTGCCTGCTTACTGCTCAGTCAGCCTTCTCCCCAGGGCCTCGGGCACCTGGTGGGGTCTCTTCTAGAGTTCTTCCCTGACACCGGAAAGGCTCTACCGGAGAGCCTCAGCCACTCCTGGTAGATTGAAATTGTTACGCATGGTTAATGGCTCTAGGAATTTGGGATACCAAATAGCCAGGGAGAGAAGAGGGGAGAAGAAAGCGTCTCCAGAGCCACCTGTATGGCGTGGGGTTCCTGGAGTCCTGGGCAGGGGAATTCTCTCTCACTGGAGCCAAGGGGGGTGGGGGTTTTGGGGGAAGAGGACCTCACCATAGTACCAACAGGACAGGCGCAGAACACGGTCTGCCCCGACATGCAGTGTTGGGCGGTTCAGTGTCTCCTAAGGAATGCTCTCTGCAGACAGTTATTTACCCTCATCACACCCTTCTCTCTGTGCTGGGTCCCATGCTGAAGTGGGCTGTGAAGTATTGTGCACTCCCAAGAGGCCCACAGTACCTGAACAGAGCTTACAGGCTTTTCAGCAGCCAGGGGCTCCCCACTCCCAGCAGTGGACCTGATGTGGGGAGAAGAGAACAAGTCCCTTCTGCCCTTGCTTCCTATGCCTGCTCTTGGAAATGACACCCTGGGAAGATGGACATGAGTTGATTTAGGTTTCATTAATGTACAGTAACCAGGCTCCACAGGCTTCTTCAAATGGGAACTTGTGGGGAGTGTCTGAATAGTTCTGGTGACTTCCAAACCTCCAAGGCAGGCTGGGCACTTCTGAGTCCAGTGGGGGTGAGGAGCCGAGCCCAGAGGGGCAGAAAGCACAGACCCATAGAAAGCGAGTGAGAGCTGTTTGCTGCAGCATGCGCTGCTCTGCATGCTGCTTCTCCTGCTGACAGAATGACGTCACTTGGCTTCAGGCTGAGCCAGAACTCAGATCTGTTTTTGGGAGCTCAGCCAGGGAGCTAGTGGGAGGGGACTGAAGGCAGCAATACAGGGGCCAAGCTGCAAGTGCAGTCCTTGGGATTATGGCCTCTGAGCCTGGGAAGTGGGGCGAGAACATTGTCACCCAGCTCAAAAATGCACCAAAGCCGACTCTCTTTTGTGTCAGAATCATAGAATATCAGGGTTGGAAGGGACCTCAGGAGGTCATCTAGTCCAACCCCCTGCTCAAAACCAGGACCCATCCCCAATTAAATCATCCCAGCCAGGGCTTTGTCAAGCCTGACCTTAAAAACTTCTAAGGAAGGAGATTCCACCACCTCCCTAGGTAACGCATTCCAGTGTTTCACCACCCTCCTAGTGAAAAAGTTTTTCCTAATATCCAACCTAAACCTCCCCCACTGCAACTTGAGTTAACAAATGCTCTTAAGAAAGGGGAAGTTGTGAGGAGGAGAGGGAAAGGCCCACCTAGCGGTATGGAGCTGAGTAATTTTGCACTGTTGCACCCCACTATCTCTGGTACAGAGAGCTGCTGGGCAGTAAAGGGGAACAGGAGCTTCTCAAAGAACTGCAGGAAAAGCTGTTCAAGATTTTAAGTAGTGAACTGAATCAGGAGAGCTTTGGAATGTATGCCTTACATCAGAACACCTGCCATCCTCCCCATGGCCGGGGAGACACTTCAGACTGCTGCTGCTGTCATCAAACCCTGCTGCATCCCCGAACTGCCATCCTCCCGGCACCTTCGAGGTGGCCCTGGCACTGCCAAGGGAAACTGACTCCTGGAAGATTGAAGAGCTTCTAGGTCACTGTTTAAATGTATCTAATGTTAATGCTCCCCTGTATTGATGTTTCAGGAATTCAAGGCTGTGTGCACTTGGCATTGTTGCTATCCTATGGGAATCACATGGCTCATCAGCCCCTCTTCTAGTCTGTGTGATAGATGCCCTGAAAAGTCTCTTCTCCCTCTGTTTTCGAGCTGTGAGCTGGGAAGGCCGCTGGCTTGACTCTTCCTTGCATGCATCCTGTTCACAGAGGATTGGTCAGTGCTGCTTGACTCAGCTGTTGATTGGCCAACCTCCCCTAGTGTGGAACAGGAAAGCTTGGCTGCTTTGTGCATTTCCATGCTGGACAGCACCTGCCTTGGCAGGACTCTGGCCCCAGGAAGTTTAAACACTTGGAACAGAGGGCAGAGATGTGGTGAACTCAAATGAAGTGGCACCTGGGAACCGGATAAAACTCAGCCCCTGTCCTGAGGAGCTTACAGTCTACAGAACTGGAAACCAGCTGACATTCCAAGCTATGTGCTCTAGCGGGGAAGAAAATGTTAATTAGCATTCAGCCTCTGAACTGATGTGAATAACTCAGTGAGAACCCCAGGCTCTTGGATCAGGCGCTTGTCAGCCTATCAAAGGGGAGTAAAATTTTGGAATGTCCTCTGTTCTAGCTTTGGCAAAAGATTTCTTCTGGGAATGTCAGGGCAGGTGCCCTTAGGCAGGGTTCCTATCTTTTATTTATCCTATGTCCCAGGTGTGCTTGCATGCAACCTAGCCTGAGGAGCTAACATTACATTTCTCCAGAGCGCAGCTGGAGGTAACCAACCCAGAGAGTTCACACAGCCACCATTATGTGTGCATCTTGGTGGCTCCACCTTGGATTTTGCTTTTTACAAGAATGTAATGGGTAAGGCTGGCTAATAAATGAGCTCTGAGGAGGGTGACCATGGGATTGGGAGGATGTTTCCCATGTAGGGCGCAGCATGAGAAAAGGCAGAGTTTGACCTTAGTGCCTGAATTGGGAAGATGGGAGCAAGGGCAAAGATGAAGGTGGGGTGGAGTTGTGTAGGTCCCTGAAGGTGGGAGTGCAGAGTTGAAATGTGACACAGATGGTGAAAAGAATCCAAGGTAAGGGTCTGGGGAGAGAACTCCAGCTGGAGTGCCAGTGTGAAACTCGGGGAAAGCTGCAGGAGCTGGATGGGACAGGGTTTGGGAGCAGGGGTAGAGAGAAAAGAGATGGATTTTGGAGCTGATGGGGAGAATCAACTAAAAGCATGGGTGGGAGTCTGGGACATGATGACAATGCTGTTGTGGGCGGGGGAGGAGCAGCTCTTGTTTCTGTGCTGAGTATGAGCTGGTGCTGGGAGAAGGCCATTTGCAGCGACCATTTCAAGTACAGACCTGCGTAGAGGGGCCGGGCCAGATTAGAGAGCGTAACTGAAGCCAGAGAATAGATGAGGTATCCAGGCAGAGGGGATGAGGAAGGCCCCGTTGGAGAGGGTTGGGGCACTGGAGTACCCTGGGAAGGATGCACAGCAAGGCATCTAACTTGCCTCTGTGTGCTGGTATGGGTTTTAGGATCCCAGGCTGGAAGCAGTTTCCTTCCGCACCCAGTAGAAGCGGAGGGAGTAGAGGAGGGATAAGTGCCCCTCCCTCACATCAGTCCATGTGCTATAATTACCCATGTGTATGACAGCTGGACCCAGCTTGGGAGTGTTTCAATCTGCAAAGCCTCAAAATGACCCAGCGAGAGAGACTGCTGCATCCTGTGGTTGGGGCTGCGTTTGTACTTACAGGGCTTGCCATTGTATGCTGCAAAATCCTTTGCCCAGAAAGGGAGGGAATGCAAAGGCAGAATGGTAAAAGATTTTAATGGCAACCACTTTCTGCCTGTGTCAGACTGGCTTTATTTACAAGCCCCAGGACTACTTCCTAAAACACCACCCAGGCCAGCTTCACGGACAATCCAGCCAGCTTCTCCTACCTCTTGCAAGATCACAGCTAACCGGTATTGGAACTGAGCCAAGGGCACTGATGGGTAACGCAGAATAGAATCTGGCTTGCCCTCCTGCGGCCCCACTGACTTCTGCATTTCTAACAGGAGCAAAAACATGTTTGCTGACAGGTTGGTTTTTTGGAGTGGGGGAGGACCTGGAGATGTGCTGGGAGAAGGCATGTTGAGCAAGATGGGGGCGTTTCTGCTTACTCGCTTTCCTGATCATTACTGCCTTTGAATAGCCTCTCAAAAGTCCCACTGTTGAAAGTGAAGCCTGTTCTGTGGCTCGAGGGCAAACTGAATGGAAGCTCTCGCAGTGACTAGATTTCTTCCAGTGCACAGGCAAGAGCGGGCTCCAAAGCTGCACATGCACTGCACTGTCTCCAAGAGTGAAATATTTGCTGGGCCTGTGTTGTTGCCATTGTTCCCCAGCTGAGGCCAGATCTAAGGGGCACGGGTTCTGGGGGGAGGGGGCTAACGCACCCCCTGGTGTGAAGTGGTTTCCATCATGTACAGGGTTTACAGTTTGGGTCAATGGCTCTCAGCACCCGCACTGCACACATTGTTCCAGCACCCCTGAAGGGGCACTGTGGATTTTTACAAGAACAATGATTAAAATTTGATGCATCTCTTTCCTCTGCCCCAAGCCTGGCCACCGCTGCAGTGGCTTGTGGGAATCCCTGCTACAGGGGATCCCAAACTCACTGAGGCAGGGTTACAGAGCAGGAGAGAGCCACTCAAAGAGCTCTTGGGAGTCGCTGTGGATAGTTCCCCAGCGGCTAGAAAGAAGTAAATGGTGGGTAAAGAGCCACCTTACTGCTTGCTTATTCTTCCATATCTAGGCTGATGTGCCCCATCCCCCCTTGGCCAGCTGCTCTGGGGAGCTGGTGAGGTAGTGGCAAGGCACGGCAGCCTGCAGCAGCAGCTGGAACAATAGGATGTGGCAACTCACAGCGATAACTAGGAGCAACAGCCCAATACTTTCCTAGGCCTTTGTGTGTGACAGGAAATTCCTGGTCCCCTATTTGGATATCTTCCCAGGGGGATACAGCCATACCTTGTCTCAGGTAGCTGCAGAGTTTCACAGAACTCTGAAAGAGTCAACATATATTATTTGATCCCATAACTGCCTGGCAAAGCTGGTCTTCCTCCCCTAAGGAGGCAGAATTCCCCTTGTCTGGTGAGTGCATGCGCCCAAAAGACTCAGCACAGATTTCTGGCCTGTTGTTCTCCCCTGCTATACGCTGACAAGAGGAGCCAGGCGTCTCTTTTATTTATATCTATTGGGGTTGTTTGTCCCCCCCACAACCCTGCTGCAGGCAAGGGAGCAAAACTGCGCTCAGATGTTGTTCCAAAAGTATTTGGAAGTGGGTAGCGCTCCCCGTGGCCTCAAAGGGATTGATCTCGTCTTGTCTCCCCAAAAGGGCAGTACTGTGGCAGGATCATGGGCTTCACTGGGAGAAGGAGCTACAGCAGAGGTGCAAATGAATTTTCACTTAAGCTTTTGTCACTACTGAGTCTTGCAATGCTAACGTACAGGAAAATGAGCGAATGGAAAGACCGTTCAATTGGGTGACTGGTTGCTGATGCAGTCTGGCTTTTCCATCCCTCAATATTGCTGTCACTCTAACAGTTAAAGAATAACCTTCTAGATCACTTAGAAGCTACATTCCAAGCTTTTGGACAAGCATAGGTTTATAGACCCACCGGTGGCTGAAACAGTGGCTGCTAAAACTGGGTGGGAGTTAAGGGCGGGAAGGGAAAGCAAGGTGGAAGCTGGAATGACGGAATTTTTAATCCGTCTTTAATCTCATTAGCCCTAAGGCTAAAAACATACAGGCTAGCTAGAAAACAATGGCATGGTGGGTTCACTTCTAGCTCAGTGGTCCCTTGGCTAACTTCAGGCACTCACTGCAGTATCACTCTAAGAGCTGTGGCCTACTCACCGCAAACGGGGCTGACTTATTGATCCCCTTTCCATGGGGCCTACAGCTGAGAATACCACTGACTGTGGGGAGAAAAACACTTGCTGTCTGTTCCTGCCCAGCAGTGCCAGTTTGCGATTGGAGAGCAGCTGCTGTCCCAGGAGGTTCTAGCTGCTATGGTGGGGGCAGCAAGAGAGTAGAATAAACTTCTTAGGAAAGATGCTAATCTAGCACCAGGATGGGGAGAGAACTAACTTTTCTGCAGTGCCCCTGTACTAGACTGAACAGATAGGCCTGTCTTCTCCAGGCTAGTGTCTACCTAGGATAGGTAACAAGCTTGTACTCTTGGTTTGCTGCAGCTGAGAGTGTGCTGCCTGGATTCCTGTATAGGACCCAATCCTCCCACCTACAGGAGCCCTGACGCTCAGCACAAGCTGGAAACATGACTCTGACCAACAGGTTAGAATGCACTGCTTGGGCCCCTCTGCATTGCTCCTCCTCCCCTCCCTTGGCTGGCCTGGGACTGGCTCTGTAAGCAGAAGAGAACAAACCAGTAGTCAGGTGGTCTTCATGCCGAACTACCTGTGAAGACCAGAGGGAGCTGGGGGTTGAAAGTGGGAAAGGGGGCAGGGGGCAAGTGCCTGCTTTCTTTATCTAGCATTTATGTCCTCTGTTGCTTTCTGCTGTTCTGATCACACATCATCCTTATAAGGATCAAGAGCGTGTGTTGGCCTTCCTGAGGCTTCACCTCCTGGCCAGAGAGAATAACTCCAAGGCCTGCAGCGGCCTTGGTGGGGCAGGGGCTGTCTGGAGCTGACGAGCACTATGGGCTGAGTGAGTGTAAGCTCACAGTTTTGCGGGAGAGGGCTGGGGAGAGAAACATCTCAGTGTTGATCTCTTCACCGCATTAACTGTGCGAGTCAGTCTTCCCAAAAGAGCAAGCTCTCAGGCAGGTTCTGCTTGAGGAGTGGCTTCTTCTTTAAACTCCCTAATGGGTCCTGTTGCTGCATGTAGCCAAGGGGGCTTGCAGAAGGGAGTGACTGGGGGAGGAGTGCTTAATTGCTAACCAAAAAAGGTGAGAGGTTATGCCTGTCTTCAGACTCCCACAGTAAAAGTAGGTGTGCCTCTCGCTTGTTGGGGTGAGTGACCATGGTGACCAGATGCCATGGTAACAAGGAACATAAGAAAGAAACCCTTGGCCAGAAGCACTTGCTGTAAGAGGATAATGGGGTTCATGTGCATTGCCCTGTAGTCCCTGACCTTCTCCCATACAGTTGGACTCCTCACTGGAATGACACAGCTGGGCACTGGCTCCTCTGCGAACTGCCTGTGGCCACGTTCCCCTGCAGGGAGGGGAAATCCTAGGACACCACTGTTTGTACTCTCAACTTGCTGCTCTGAGGAGGTGTGGGCCCTCCCGCCAGTATTGAGTGAGCTGGATATTCCCTGCCTCCAGCATTCTTCTCAAAAGGATGCAAAAGGAGCTGAGTCACTACTCTTGAATGGGACTGTTGGCCCCACAGGTGCTCCCGTTCTCCTGACACAAGCCAGAAGCCCAGAGGCACTAGCCATCCCTAGAAAGCCAGACCGGCACAGGAGCGCTGCTTCCAAGATTTTGAGAGCGCTTTCTGAGTAGGGATAAAGGCCTTGTGCACTGAAATGGAAAAGCCCTATTGAATCCCTCTTGTTCCAGCCCCATTGGGCAGAAGCAAGATTACTCCTATTCTCCAGAGCTTCATCCACTATTCGAGCCCCCAAGCGGTGGTGCTTCCAGCCCTTTCCGTGGGGAGACTGCTCCACACACTAACTGGACATGACTCAGGCAGCTTCCAGTTTAACAAGAGGGTAAAGTCATGCCTGTTACAAACGAGCTCCCCGCTTTGTAGCCAGTATTGGCCTCCTGTTTCAGCCTTGCTTGGAATCCCAAACCCAGCGTGGCAGTCTCTGACCAGAGAAATGGCTGTTGTCCAAACCCCTGGCCTTCCCTTTAGCGGGCTTGGGTCAAGGACCGTATAGGAAGAATCTGCCCCGAAACAAGGGAACCTCAGCTTCCCCTTTGTGACATTTACTGCTTAGCTCTCTTAGCCATGGGCATGCTTACAAGGGCCAACTGCTGCGATGTTGGGACTGGTGCTATTTCAGCCTCTCTCAGCTCTCCAGCAGACTCCAAGCCCCCAAGTGAAAGCCAGCTCCTGCTGGAGTGGGCCCACTCTGATCCTGGGCCTCTGTCTCCCTCAGGTAGTGAAGATGACCAGTAGCGACCAAGAGCGTCCCCAGTTCCTGTTTGTGAAAGCGCTGGCCAGCCGGGGGCGCCTGGAGGCAGTGACACAGCAGATGGGGTACCACCCGCAGTATCTGGACAGCTTCCTCAAGATACAGCACTACTTGCTTCACATGGACGGCCCGCTGCCGTTTGCCTGCAGACACTACATCGCCATCATGGTACGTGCCAAACCCTCGCTTCTTGGAAAGCAGCTGAAGTAAAGGCCTCCTTCCTATGGCAACAGCCTGCCAGGGCATAACGGTAGCCTGTGGAGCCCTCAGCCCTTAGCTTAGCTGATGCCCAGTGTCTAGTACCTCCCACGTCTCCATAGGAAGCTCAGTGATGGAGGAGGCAAGGGTGAGCTCTGCCCTCGGTCGCCATTATTCTGTGCTGCCAGAGTCTGGGGTCACCTCTCCCTGCTGAAGGCCTCAGTTAGGTTCTGTCTCTGCGTCCCTCTGCAGGAGTTTGGAATATCCTTTGTGGCTTGGCCCTAGCTAGACGCCAAAGTTTCTCGTTGGGTGGGTGGCCTTGGACTTCATGCTCAGCTGGAGTCTTCAGAAAGTTGCTCGTGCTGGTTATCTGGGTGGGGCCCCTGGCCCTGTGGATACTGCACTGTTCTCTGGAGAAGCTGCTAGGGCCATGCTTCATGCACTCAGGGTCTGAGTTGCTCTTGCAGGCAGCTGCTCGGCACCAGTGCTGGTATCTGGTGAATCTGCACATGCTGCAGTTCCTGCGAGTGGGGGGAGATCCCCAGTGGCTGCGGGGCCTGGACTTCATCCCTCCCAAACTCCGCAATCTTAATGAGATCAACAAGATCCTGGCTCATCGGCCTTGGCTCATCAGCAAGGAACACATAGAGGTAACTGCACGTGGGACATGGATGTGAAGAGTCTGGGTGTGGGCTGATGGGCAGGATTACAGAGACCGGAATGAGAAGGGAACATAGGGCTGAGAGCTCCCCACTCCTCCCATCATGCATGGCCCCCTTGGCAGATTCCTTCGAGAGGGGGCCTTGCATGACGAGGGAGGAGACCTTGGTGAGTCACTTGATGGACGGGGCAGCCAGTAACCCAGTCTGTTTTCTTGCTGTGCTATCAGTTTCTGTCTGACCTACCCCACAGAAGCTGCTGAAGATCAGTGAGCAGAGCTGGTCTCTGGCAGAGCTGGTCCACGCCGTGGTCCTCGTGGCGCATTACCATGCTCTTGCCAGCTTTGTCTTTGGTTGTGGCTGTGAGCTGGAGTGGCTGGATGGCAGGAGCATACTGAAGTCAACGTTGCCAGGGAACCAGTGTTTCTGTGAGTCCGCCAGCGGGAACAGCTGTAATCTGGAGTTGCTGCGCATCAACCGCAAACGGGTGAGCCACCAAGGATTTAACTTTCCCAGCGGCCAGGGGGCCAGCAGAACGAGGACTGCTGGCTGATTAAGAGTTGTGTAATGTCTTCCCACGCAGTCTCTGGATTCCTGTGTGGAGCTGGAATCGCTCCGGGAACGTATCCAGAGGATCCACCTGGAGAGTGAGGGCCGAGAGGAAATGAGGCCACCGCAACAAGACAGAGAGGAAGGTAATCCAAAGGGGCAGGCTGGAGATCTGACACCCCAGAGGTCTCCGCCAGGAGAAGGGCAAGCCCCCAATTTAGGCCTGTCCCTGTAGAGGCTGCAGTTGCCACCCAGGACTCTCCTCTCTTTGTAGGACTAGAAGGATGTACTACAAAGAGTTACCTCCAAGCTCCTTGCAAAGCAGAGTATCTGGTGGGGGCTGCAGGAGTGTGGAATTGGGGGTTTGTGTCCTTAACACTGGTTAATTCACACCCTTCCAGATCATTGGAGAGGACTGATGATGTTTTCCAGGACCATAAAGAGTAGGAATAGCAGAGGAAATCACAAATGTGCCTATAGGGAACCTGCAAAGTAATGATGCTGAAGCGACCTCTTTCCCCAAGGGAGGGAAAGGAAGTGCCATTGATTCGTCTGTTTCAAAAGTGAAGAAAGCCCCAGGGAACGTTGTAAGAATCCTTTTTGCCCTGGGAGAATGGTTTAGATGGGATGTAACGCTCATGAAACACGTACCAGAGCGCTTGGCTGCGATTGACTCTTAGCTGGTTCTGCAAGCTCAGAGGGGCAGTAATGCTGTGGGGGGTTGGGATTCCATGCCCCAGGAGATCTCTCTGGAGGGAGACCATGCCCCTTGCTGCTGAATGCTGCAGAGAAGCAGCATAAACTTGTGGCAGATCTGTTGTAATCTCCCCTGTGGGTGGCGGTGGGCTCTTTTTCCCTCAGATTTTGATGGGGAAATCGTCAGAGCCACAGATCTCTCCTGCTATGTGCAGGACCCTGATTTTGGATACCAGGACTTTGCCAGGCGAGATGAAGATCAGACCCAGATATTTAGAGTCCAGGTGAGTGTTTTGTTCTTTTTTTAATGGGGTGACCCTGGAAGGCAGGAGCAGAGTCTGGGCCCAGGATCTCTGTCCGTGTCAACAGTAGGGTGACAGCATGCCGTGCAGCTGCGCTAGGCTCACATGCCTTAGATTAAAACAGCAGCATCCACAGGGGGCCATGTAAACCAGAGTGAGAGAGGGCTACACCAGCCACTGTCCTGGTGCGGCGTCACTCTGAAAAGTGACTGTCAAGATGCCCCATCTTACAAGAAGCAGGTTGTGGAGAGAGATGAGTCAGAACTACTGACCTTGGGGACAGATGAGTATTCTGCTGTTGCAGATCCAGCACAGCTCTGGGGGAGGAGCCAGATTCTGTTCAGGAGCTTCCATTGCCCCTGAACCAAGGTGTTGTGTTACATCTCCGGCTGTCAGCTACTGCCACTCCTGTATGTAAGCCTAGTGCCTCCAGATCCGTGAGCAGCAGGGGCCTGATACAAAGTCACCAAAGTTCCAATAGCAGGATCAGATGTCCTCTTGCACCTGACAACTCCACTAGAGGCTGCTAGCAAAGCAGGAAAACCTCTTACTGTTCTGATTCCAGCAAGAGCTTGCCCTTTCTGAGACATAAGAGACACTGACACAATACCGCTTTCAGCCTCGGTGGCTTTTCCACTGGCTCATTTCATGGGGCACCTGCGCTGAGTTCCCTCTCTGGCGCTGAAGGCATCTTGCTCTGTTTGGCAGGATTACTCCTGGGAAGACCATGGATTCTCTTTGGTAAACAGACTCTACTCTGACGTTGGCCACCTCCTGGATGAGAAGTTCCGTACAGTTGACGGTCTCCAGAGCAATGCCATGGCCAAGCGGCAAGGCTGTGAATCTTCTGTCTTCAAACGGGGCATCTGGAACTATATCCACTGCATGTTTGGAATCAGGTATCCCAGCCCTACAGGGCCAGGGGGAAGGGTCTCAGTGCAAGGCCTACAAGGGGTTGTCACTGGAGAAAATCTAACTCGTAGTATATGTGTGATCCATCTGGGAGGGGAGCTTGGCCTGAGAAATGGGGACATTACAGCTATCTCTGTTCCCCAACCTTCTGGGACATCTTCCAGGCCGGTTAAGAGAGTCAGTGAGGAATTCAACAGGGATAGGTTGACATGAGCCTTCATACCTGGCGGAGCTTGGGATGACGGGGATGCCCATGGTGCTCCCCCCAACCCCTTCTCAGGATGTTGTGTGGGAGTGGCTCGGGTATGGTTTACGTTAGGTAGCAGCAGAATTATTTTGCTGTACCCTCGCTTTTTACCAGCCATAAGAGTGAGCGGGGTGTGGAGAGGAGCAAGTGGGGAGTGGGGGAAAGGGGCGGCTTGGGGAGAAGGGGTGACATGGGGGCGGGGCCATGTTTTTGGTACCAGTGGCGCGCCCCCCACCCCCTTTTAGGGAGCTTCCATTGCCCCTGAACCAAGGTGTTGTGTTACATCTCCAGCTGTCAGCTACTGTCACTCCTGTATGTAAGCCTAGTGCCTCCAGATCCGTGAGCAGCAGGGGCCTGATACAAGCGGTCACTCCAGCTCCTCTGGCTGCTGTCCTGATCCCAGAGAAGGTTGTGGCAGGTGGGCACATGGAAGCTGGTTCTCACTGGAACTCTTCCCACAGGTACGACGACTATGATTACGCAGAAGTGAATCACTTTCTGGAGCGGATGCTCAAAGTTTACATTAAAACTGTGACTTGTTACCCAGAGAAGACTAACCCAGAAATGTTTGGCCGGTTCTGGAAGCAGTTCAAGCACAGTGAAAAGGTACAGGGGATCAGAGGAGAGCATGGCACATCTAATATCTCCATGTAGTCTATTTGGCCAGTTTTTGGAGCCAGCAGTGCTTCAAGGGAAGCTTGTGCAGCTGTTGGGTTGAGCCCAATGGCGGGAAGGGATCAGAGCTGCCGCACAAGGTCCTTCCTTCAAACCAAAGAGGTGTCAGGGAGGATCCAGGGAACACAGGACTTGGGTGCTCCTGTGGGGCTGGAACTGGGCATCAGGGAGTGAGACTCTTGGAGGCCTCGTCACTGATGGAGCTGCAAGCAATCTTGGGACACTAGTTGTGCTCTGCTGTACTGCGACCTGTGCTGAGCTGCGCAATGTTGAACAGCTGCAGTCACCCGGGAGAAGCAAAGCCTCTGCATATGGTCCGTGTCTACCTTGAAGGGCAGAATTGTTCTCAGCACCAGTCTTGCTTGCAAGGCGCATGTGAGGAGAAGCTGCTCTCCTACTGGAGTGAGCCTCTCTGGGAGGCTCTGGCAGACGGGGCCCCTGACTACCACATCCTCTGTAGTTGCTCCTGCAGAGATGACAGCAGGCTGTGGGTGGGAGGGAACTTGTGGTCTAATAAAACCCCCAGAACAGTTGAATCCACTGGGCCATGAAGTCCATACAGGGCTTGGTCTGGATCTACTTGAACATCCCTCCCTCTCACAGCTTCTCCAGTGCAGGCAGCTCATAGCCCTGCAGCATTAGCAGATCTCTAGCATTGCAAATCCATCCTCTCCACACAGGCTGACTAACTCCCTGCCCAGGCCAGAAGGACTCCATTAGCATTTAAACACTGGGCGTGAAGGGCTCAGTGTCCTGGGGCTGCCCCCTCTAGACCTGCCCTGACAGTCGTGCTCACAGGTCAGTGCGCTGAGCAAACTGCACCAAGCCTAAGCCCGTCTTTTGCTCCCTCAGGTCCACGTGAACCTTCTCATCCTGGAAGCCAGAATGCAAGCTGAGCTCCTGTATGCACTGCGAGCAATTACCCAGTATATGATCTCCTAGAGAGCAGGGGTGGCTCGGTTATGGCAGGGGTGGTGCACGCATCCCTACCTCTCCATGGACTCCATACTTGAACCATCGGGCTAGAACTGACTGCGATGGGTTTCTCTAACTTACTTGACTATTCTGTTTCTATGGGGCACGATGAGTGACCTTGTTATGTGCAATTACCAAGCTGTGAGGCAACTCCGTGTTGCTGTGATCTCGGTGTGAAGCTGGAGACGTGAATGTGTCCATGGCAGACTCCCAAAGACTTGGGGCAGGGAGGGAAGGATGGGCAGGTTGAGGGCATGTGTCTCTTCAAAGAGATGGGCTCTAACCATCCACAGTGGAAGCCCCTTCACCCAAGCAGCACAAGGAGCCTGCCCATGAGGGCAGCCCAGTGCAGGATCCTGTATGCGTTCCAGCCCTGGGGCAGAGCAGCAAGCTTGCTTCCTTTCCGGCACTGCAGCAGCATCACACTGGGCATGGCTGGCTGGTCAGAAGCAGCAGCTGTGGGGTGATGAAGTTACTGTGGAGTATCCCAGTTGGTAGGGTGGCTTGTGGGTGTGTTCTGAAACTCCTTTAGTCACAGGAGCAGGAGGGAGGAGCACTGGTTATGACCCAGGTTCTCAGAGACGAGCAGATCCTCCCGCTCCCCAGCACAGTACTGGAGGGAAACCAGCCTCCTGCATATGCTCTTGGCTATGCTGCCAACCTCCCGGCAGCACCATGCTGAGTACAGGTCAAGCTGTGGTACTCCTGAGGAGGTGCAGTGATCAACAGGCTGAATTCTCCCAGGGACAGGCTCTTGCCCCCAGCTCCTGGAGGTGGCTGCTTGGAATGTTTCACTTCTATAGAGCTGGGCTCTTGGACCTGCATCCCACCCTCTGGGTCTCCTATCGAGCCCCCCTTTCTACAGAAAGCCCAGGGGGGTCATTGTATCCAAACATGAGCTGGGTCCTAGCCCATGCTGCACTAGCCTTGGGATGGGTCACTTGCTGCTCGGTATTGCCATGTGGGCCATGGGCCTGTTTGCTCTTGATCGGTCAGGTCAACTGGAACAGCCTCAATCACCTCCTGCTATGGGGATGGCAGCCCTAGGACTGCAGCAGCTCCAGACTGACCAGCCTCCACCCACAGTTACAATGCACACACGGGCCTGCACCTCATTCTCTTTGCCATGGGCAAGATCCATATGCTGCAACACTCCTTGTGACCCTGGGAGGGACTGAGGAGTAACAACCTGCCTTACCTGTTACCGCTCTGGCTGGAGGAGAGCATGCTGTGCTGGGCTGTCCTTGGCTCGGTGGCTGGCCCAGCTTCAGAGGGAGATTCAGGTAAGGGCTGTGTACAGAGGCCCCTTCTCCAAAGAGCTTTTTTGGGGCATGAGGACACAGCTGGGACCTTCCTAGTAACTGGAGTCTGGAGGGGCAGGGACTGGGAGGCCAGTGTGAGGTCAACCTGGTTACTTGTGTGGAGAGAACGTTATGTGTGGAAGCTACAGAAAAAGCCTATTTTTGCTATGAATATAATTATGTTTGACACAATCTGCACCTGGCTTATCTCTCTTCAGGGGAAGGGGAGCTTCACTTGCCCTGGCTGGAGAGCTAACCCTTGTACAAGTGTGCTGTGGTCCATCTGCTCTGGTGGCAGGCAGGGCCGAGCCGCACTGGCATAGCGGGGGAGAAGCTTGTGCGGTGGCTTTCTACAGTAGGTCTGGTCATCTGTGTGCTGCAGTGCTTGCATTCCTGAAGTCTCCTAGCTTTGCCTGCGCCCCTGGAGATGCAGCAGTGCTGTATGCGCTCCATAGCTAGTCAGGACAGAGGGCACTCCTCTCCCCTCTCATGTCCTTTGGCTCCATGGCAATAGGAGCCGATGCACTGTCCCTCCTCGGAAATGACTGCTAGCCCTGCTGCTCTGGCCATCTCTCCCTCCCACAGCAGCACTTCTTCCCTTGCTGTCCAGAACAGCTCTGGCGTCTTGCAGCACTCTGCTCAACAGTGCCCAGGGAGTTTGACTCGGATGTGAAAAGGGTTAACTGAACCTACGGGACTTCACTGCAAGAAAGGAGCAACGCTGCCATAGGTGTGTGGGTAGGGGGGGTGCTGGGTAACCTTAACCTCACCTCCCACCACATAGGTTACAGGACAGGAGTGAGTTTAAGGCTTCACTTCTGCCAGGGCAGCCTGCCTTCAAAGAAGGTGGGTGGGCAAGTGAGTTGTTCTGGATCCCTGGAATAGCACAAGCCAGGCAAACATTTCAGCAGGAGGCTTTCTGAAAAGACAGAGTCAAAGCTGTGCAGGGACTGATGACAATGTGGAAGCAGCTGCTTCTTTCCTATGCTGATTATCTACCCTTTGGGCCAGACAAGCTGTAAGATGTAAACCAAGCAGATCCCATTGGATTCTATCACTTCTGAACAGAACTGGGAGAAGGGGCGGGGAGAGGGGTTTGGGTTTTTTTGGCAGTGTAGGTGCTGAAAAACAGCAGTTTTGGTCAACCTTAAATTATTTGCAAATAGGTCTAATTTGCCAAATAGTTTTGACTGAAGTGGGAAAACTCAATGTTTCTGGAAACTTCAGCTCTCTGCACAGTAGCAGCCCAGCCCAAAAGGCTAACAGTGTTAGGGCCTATTAGGAAAGGGATAGAAATCCATGATGTGCCCACACCTTGAATACTCTGTCCAGTTCTGGTCGCCCCATCTCTGAAAAGGTACAGAGAAGGGCAACAAAGATGATCAAGGGTATGGAAAGGCTTCCATGTGAGGAGAGACTACAATGACTAGGTCAGTTCAGTTTAGAAAAGAGATTAAGGGGTATATAATACAGATGTGTAAAAAATGAACAGAGAAGTTTTATATACCATCTCCCACAATACAAAAACCAGGGGTCACCCAATTTAATAGGCAGCAGCCTTAAGGCAAACATGAGGCAGTACATTTAGACACCATGCACACATAACCTGTGGAACCCATAGCCAGGGGATGTTGTGATGGCCAAAAGTATTAACTGGGCTAAAAAAAAAAAAAGATAAATTCGTGGAAGATAAATCCACCAATGGCTATTGATTAATACAGTCAGAGATGTGACCCTAAACCTCTGATTGCCAGGAGCTGGGAGGAGAAGACAGGTGGCTCATTCCTATTGCCCTCGTCTGTGCTCCCCGTGAAGGCCTGGTACTGGCTCCTGTCAGACAGAACCCTCGATGGACCATTGGTCTAACCCAGCATAGCCAATCTCATGTTGCGGTTTCAGTAATGTCAACTTTTTTATTTGCCCTGAAACTTTTCAATGCAGGGCATTTGTCAGAAAAACGATGCTGGAGCTCTCTCATCACCTTTAACTCTGAGGTGGGGGTCCATGCTGGCAACTTGTAACAGTCATTAGGCCGGAGGAGTGAGTGATGTAGCCTGGAGGATAGACTTGCCTAGGATCTGGGGGAGACAAGCTCACAGTAGCATTAAACTGTTTAATCAGGCTAGACTGAGAAATACCCCAGGGGCACTAAGGCACTCCCACGATGCAGGAGCCCCAAGTTCAAATGCCTTGTGTACATCAACCAGAAGGTAAAAGTGACCCTGGGTCTTCTGTAGCCTAGGAGCATAAAAAAACCATGGTTCTAAGAGAGGTCCTCTTCTCCTCCCCACATCATGATTTTGTGAATCTAGTCCTTTGCGGATAATACATGAAATCAACATGAAAGTTTCAGGTTGAAACAAAATGTTTCATGTTGACCCACCTCTAAATATTGACATTTATTTGCTGTAAATCTCTGAAAAATTGCCATTTTAGTTTGACATGAATTTTTTTTCTCATTACTAGTGGAGGAGGAAAGAATACACAGCTCTACTTCTAGCTCTGAGGCTGCAATTAACAAACCAAACTTCTGTGGGACTCAGTTGGTTACTAAAGCTGTGTCCACGCTGCCACTTTTGGTGCTAAAACTTTAGTCATTCAGGGGTGTGAAAAAACAGCCCTCTAAGTGACAAGTTTTAGTGCAGGAAAGCATCAGTGTAGACCATGCTTCATCGCCAGGAGCCGCGTTCCCGGTAATAAAGCTACCGCAGCCTGTGCAGGGTGGATTTTTTTAATCACCGGGAGAGCTCTCCCCCGGTGACAAAGCGTGTCTACACTGCCCATGTTTCAGAGTAGCAGCCGTGTTAGTCTGCATTCACAAAAAGAACAGGAGGACTTGTGGCACCTGAGAGACTAACCCATTTATTTGAGCATAAGCTTTTGTGAGCTACAGCTCACTTCATCGGATATTTTCCACTGAAGGCAGCCGATGCAGTGAGCTGTAGCTCACAAAAGCTCATGCTCAAATAAATGGGTTAGTCTCTCAGGTGCCACAAGTCCTCCTGTTCTTTTTGCACTGACCACCTCATAGCACGGCCACAGCAGCACTGTAACGGGGGCAGTGTAGACATACCCTAAGTGGCTCTGGCAGTATTTTAAATGCCCAAGCACTCAGCTTAGCCTGCTTTTTTGTTCACCATGAGGTGCTCAGAGGCTTGAAGATATTAGCATAGTCACTCATTACCATCACAGCAAGAGATCATAGAATATCAGGGTTGGATGGGACTTTAGGAGGTCATCTAGTCCAACCCCCTGTTCAAAGCAGGACCAATCCCCAACTAAATCATCCCAGCCAGGGCTTTGTCAAGCCTGACCTTAAAAATATGTAAGGAAGGAGATTCTACCACCTCCCTAGGTAACGCATTCCAGTGTTTCACCACCCTCCTAGTGGTAAAGTTTTTCCTAATATCCAACCTAAACCTCCCCCACTGCAACTTGAGACCATTACTCCTTGTCCTGTCCTCTTCTACCACTGAGAATGGTCTAGAACCATCCTCTCTGGAACCACCTCTCAGGTAGTTGAAAGCAGCTATCAAATCCCCCCTCATTCTTCTCTTCTGCAGACTAAACAATCCCAGTTCCCTCAGCCTCTCCTCATAAGTCATGTGTTCCAGACCCCTAATCATTTTTGTTGCCCTTCGCTGGACTCTTTCCAATTTATCCACATCCTTCTTGTAGTGTGGGGCCCAAAACTGGACACAGTACTCCAGATGAGGCCTCACCAGTGTCTAATAGAGGGGGCGATCACATCCCTCGATCTGCTCGCTATGCCCCTACTTATACATCCCCAAATGCCATTGGCCTTCTTGGCAACAAGGGCACACTGCTGACTCATATCCAGCTTCTCGTCCACTGTCACCCCTAGGTCCTTTTCCGCAGAACTGCTGCCTAGCCATTCGGTCCCTAGTCTGTAGCTGTGCATTGGGTTCTTCTGTCCTCAGTGCAGGATCCTGCACTTATCCTTATTGAATGATGAGCAATGTCTCTACTTTTGCCCCATTAACAGTGGCCCTCCTGTTAGTCAGAGGGAAGGCAAGGTTCCACCATGTTTCTATTGCCCTATGGCGTTACAAAAGGCTGGGGCAACCTTCCCTACTTCCAAGGACCTGACTCAACCTCTCTAACATATTCAGATTCTCTCATCTGAAGGGGGAAAAGTTTAAGGTAATGGGCTTGTACTTTCCTTGAACCAGCAACTGTGGATTTAATCTGAGCTGCACCAGGAAGCTTTCTAGGCTACATGCTGACCACTGATTAAACAGCAAGCATGTGAGTCCCACTTCTGCCTCCTCCTCTAGCAGGAGTGAAGAACAGTAGCTCCTCTTACCTAAAAGGACAGTGGCAGTTACAATAGTCACTTCAAATTCCTGGCTCCTGCTGTTTTGTGTAGTCACTAACCTCATTGCAAAGTAGGTACCGAACCCTCCCCTTCTAGTGGGGCCTAGTTCCTGCTTGCTTTACACTCATGTCAGGCACCACAGAACCAGACCCCAAGACCTGGCCATGGCATTCACAGCTCTGCTAGCCTTAGCCTTTCCCAAGTATGGGCATCCCCTCTTACTCAGCTGGGAGCTGTAGACTTTTAGTCTGTTAATCCCTGTTCAGCAGCTAGTGTTTTTTGCATGTGTAAGCATTTGCCCAGGGCGGGAGGCATTCATGAGAAGTCAGTCAGGGAACTTTTGGAGTCACTAAGGAGCTGACCCCTTAGTGACTGAAGTTATCAGAAAGCTGCTTGAGTGCGGCTGCCCATTCACCAGCAGGTGGCACCCTACCCCACAACTGTCCTCTTACACAGGCTGCACAGCTGTGGCATGTGCCCCTGGGCTGGTTCCCCCCAGGGCCCCTGGCAGGGAGGGAGACCAAGAGCTTGGCACCTGACTGATTAAACCAGACGCTCCTCCCCTCAACCCTTGAGCTGTAGCAGAGGAATGTTCTCTCTGGGGTCTGTTTTCAGAAACACCTTCGGTTCTGCTGCAGAGGGAGGAGGCAGGGTGGCACTCCAGAGCAGTGGTTCTCAACCTGTGGTACAAGTATCCCTAGGGATACACACAGGTCTTCGGGGGGGGGGGGAGACGGGGGGACATCCACTCAGCTAGCTATTTGCCTAGTTTTACAACATAAAAAGCACTAGGGAAGTCAGTAAAAGCTAAGATTTCAGAGAGTCAATTATTTGTTTATACAGCTCTGTGCTATACACTGAAATGTAAGTACAATATTTATACCCCAATTGATTAATAATGATATGGTGAAAGTCTCATGTTGCACCCCCATGCCTAAATTCCATAAGTAAGCAGGTCCATGCTGATTATTGCACTATTGCTGCCAAAAGTGAGACAGCAGATCCCATGGCCCACAGCTGTGAGCTCAGCTGCCACTCACTGTCTCTTCTTAAGCATAAAGCAAAAAGTACCATCACTCCCTCATTTGGGATTCAGGCCATCAGGGCCCATGAGCCATGGGGGCAATGCACAGAGCAGTTGCCAGCCTAGTATGATTCCTTCTCACTGCCTTGTGCACACAGCTGTGTTGGCAGAGGCAGGTGAGAGCTGCTTTGTAACAGTGGAGTGTTCCCAAGTTTTCTGGTGGGAGGAATGGTATGTACTAGTCCATGGAGAGCAACAAACAGTACTGGAATAGTTAGTGTCCACAGCTAGTCCATGGCCCCATTACAGGACAGGTTTGGGTACAGCTCTTGCAATAGCAGGAGTACTAAAGATGTAATGGAAATGGGGACACCGTTCAAGCAGTACCCTGCTCTAGGTCAAATTTCCTCCCCTTCTCCATTTACACTGACCTGCACTTAGCCTCTCACCAGATGCTGTGGCCAGGAAGCAGAATAAGGCAGGTGGAGTGCCCCCTCCTGGCACTTCTCACAGGTTGCATGCTCTCTACCCCAACAATTTCTAGCCCCACTTTCCTCTGGAGGCAGCAAGGGAGGGCCAGGGGTGAAAGTAACTTAACGGACTTAGCAGTACGCAGGGTGACCAGGGTGAGGGGGGCAACTCTGGGCCCCTAGAAGGGGCAGGGCTGGGGCCAGACTCCCCTAGCCAGCCCTTCAGTGCTGCCCAACCCATGCTGCCTGGGGCTCCGGTGGCATGGAGGTCCAGCCACTGCTGGGAGCCCTGGGCACTTTTAAATTGCCAGGCTGTGAGGCAGCTGCCCCTTTTGTGCCCTCCCCATCAGTGGCCTTGCCCATACAGTTGGCTGTGTACCAGCTTTCTTACCAGTATGCCATACTGGCTTACTTTCACCTCTGGGGAGGGCAGGACATTTGTTCAACCTCATGCTGCAGTATTTAAAACAATCTCTAATTAGGGATTAGGATGAGCCCCTGAGGGTGGGTGTTATCCCACATCTGCTAAGTGGGGTTCTTACACCTTACTCTGAATCATCTGGTGCTGCTCACAGAGGGGTCACTGGGCTAGATGGACCTTGGCTTTGATCTAGTCTAGCAGTACATATGTGCCTAAAATAAGACTAGGCCCAGGTGAGAGCTGCCTCCCACCGAGCTGCTCAGCTCTGGACTGGAGGGTGGGAGCCTCATGAACAATGTCAGTCTGAGTGTTGTTATAAACAGACAAGACTCTAGCTCAGAGGTATAAAGCCAGGGCAAGCTAGGGTGACAAAGCATCTAAAATACCCATTCTCATTTCAACCATCTGCCTTGCATTCCCTCCATGTGCCCTGCTGTGTTCTGTCCCAGTTTAATGTAGCCACCTGGCAGTAGATTAGCCTTCCCAATTAAAGTCTTAAATGGAGCTTTTCCTTTAGCACAGCACATCTGACGCTGCAAGCGTTTGGTCATGCAGGGGGAATGCCCCCCTCAGAGCATAAATGCTCATTTAAAGGCCACTCAGCAGCCTGTGTGCTGCAACTGGGAGACACCCACCCCCATTAATGTCAGTGACACTGTTATCCTTGGGTTTGAGCCAAAATTGTAGGAGAAATCCACCCATATGATGCTCATTGGCTGGAATGGAGCAACCAGCCCCTGCCACCAGTGGGCAGCTGCAGGACAGAGAAGGTCCCCTTTCAGAATTCTATTTGCATTAATTATTGTAACTCTTGGTATTCTTGTTATCCATATAAATGTCCAGTCATACTCAGTCTAAATTCTTTGGTCCAGTGACATTCTGTAGCAGTAAGTTCCACTAATTGGTACATGAAAAAGTATTTCCATTTATTGGTTTTGAATTTCCCACCATTTAATTTAATGTCTCCTGCCTCCTGTATCATGACAGACAAATAAGTCCATCCACCTTCTTAAAGATTTATTATTTCATATACTTTTATCATTTCTTTTTACCCTCTCCTTTCTAAGATAAATCCAAAGAGACTGGGAAAGATTGGTTAAGTTTTCCTCTGACCTCTCCCACACCCCTTAATTCTGCAATAACCTTTTCACAATAGGGTGACTAGTACCATGCACAGTACCAGCTGAGGGCGTACTATTTTAAGGCCAGAAGGGACCATCCAGACCGACTTCCTGCATAACTCAGGCCAGAGACTTTCCACCAGCACTTCCTCCAGCAAACCCAGAACTTCTCACTGAGCTGGAGCAGATCTTTGCCTTTCTAAATCTTCATGTGAAGACTTCAAGCAATGGAGAAGCCACCATGTCCATCAGCACATTGCTCCAATAGATAATTTCCAACACCTAAATTGCACCTTGTTCCTAGTATGAACTGATCAGGCTTCCACTAGAGCTTGTTCTGCCTTTGTCTGCTGAATTAAAGAACCCTCTGAAATGAGAAGTCTTCTCCCTACATAGGTACTTCTGGACTATCATCAACTCACTGCTTAAACTTCTATCTGATGAAGCTCAGTCTATTGAACATCTTTAGTCTCACAGTCAGACAGGTTTTCCAGACTTTGTGATTCTTACTGCTCTTTCCTGACCTTCCAATTTGTCAATATTTTTAAGTTGTGACCCCATAACTTGACACCATATCCCAGTAAAAGCCACAGTAGTGCTGTATACAGTGGTAGTAACATCTCATCACTCCTAACTTTTTTTTGACCTGCATATACATCTTAACATCAGTGGCTAAGAGCAAACATGCATGGTGCTGGGAGCTCATAGTCCCTTGGTTTCCACCATGACCTGTAAATCCCTTTGAGTCACTGCTATCCAGGATGCAGTTCCCATGCTGTGTGGCCTACGTCCTTTGTTCCTAGATGCAAGATCTTGCACATGGCTGTGTCTCATAGGTATGGTCGTGGGATAGCTCCAAGCCCACAGGAACTGACATCAGCAGGTGCTCCCTGGCTGGAGCCCGAACAATGGAATAGCCATCCTCTTTTTGATGACTGTGCTGGTGGCATATGCTGCAGAGATGAGCTTGCTCCTGAAGTGCTTGGCTACCCTAAGCAAGCCTCAGCAGCTGCTGCGGGAATGGGTGACCAGAAGGCAGAGAGACTAGGAACCCTTTAGTTTGTACACTTAGAGTTAGAATCCCCAGGAATTGCTGACACTGGTGGAAGCTGCCTGATCCGAGTCCTGAATACAGGTAGGGTGGGAAGCAAGAATAAGGTGGGCTATTTCCTGTACTCTGATTAGGAAGGGACTGGTGGTGAGTGGCTCCTACCTTTGGGATGGTTTCTACACAAGATGAGCCCTTCAATTATTGCATCCCTTCAAGACTGTCTAGGAGCCAGCAGCACCATTTGCCCTTACACCCAGCCTGTGGGAGCAGTGCGGGGGAGCTCCTCACACAGCATCCTGGGAGTCTCAGGGCAGCGTCCATGCACTGCCTCTTCCACCTCAGGCTGGCGCAGGGACATTCAGATCAGAGTGCACAGCCCCAGCAGCCAGCTGAAATCAGAACATGAGCTGCGTCTCACCAGCAAAACAGACACCAGAAACTGCACGAGACACAGAGCAAAGGATTACAGATCTTTATTTGTCAAACTTTCCCCCTAGTCTAGCACATTCTACACAGTCTCACTAGCACAGATGGAAACAGAGCCTGTAATAGTTCGGAAATCACCAGGAGAGCAAACAAAAAGCAGAGATTTAAAAAGTAAAAAACTTCATGAGAAATGACTGAACGAGAGTGCAGCTGGGGCAGGTGTGGGAACCTATGCCAGCTGGTGCTGCCTACGCTATGGGAACGGGGGGCCTGTGCCAGCAACAGAGAAACCCTGCTTGTGAGCAACAGGCTGACACTCTTAGCATGTTGGTGCAGGCATCCCACTATGAGAGCAAAGAGGCTGGGGCCATCGTCCAGAGGGAGTGGAGAATGACGACAATACTGTCCTGGAAAGAGTAGATCATGGGACCATTTCCTATCTTTGCAGTCTAATGAAAAAGCCTCCTTCCAAACTGATGCACCCTCCAAGCATCTAAATCCCCCTCTAGGCACTGCTGGTGCTTCACCATACAGCACTCAGCTGATTGCAAACATCCCCAAGCTACATGCCATGAAACATGCTGTCAATAGCCTTTGCAAGACCACCATGAACACAGCTCTGCAAGCAGCTGCTTCACCCTCTTGGCCTTTTATACACCTGGGCTCCCTCCTTTCACCTCAGCACCAAGGTGTGTATCAGTCAGTCACTGACACCACCCATTTCTGTCAGCACAATGACTAAATCAGACTGTCCCATGCAGAACCTCTTCCCCTTAGGATGTACCCTGGCACAGGGAGTGAAGTAGCCTGGGTGCTTTGAGAGGGATCCCTTTTCCCACAGAACGTGTTACTGCAGGTGGAGAGGAGGGGTGGCAGTGGGTTCCATGCACTGACGGATTATCACAAGGACAGACCTCTCCACGAAATCCATCTTTTAGGCTACATCTATGATTACAGCAGCATGCAGAGTACAGGCACTACCCATGTAGCTACATGGCACATGAAAGGCTTTGGCAATAGGGAGCTCCCGGAGCCTTTCCCCGCAAGAACCTTTCCCTGCAGTGGGGAGGTAGCTGGACACTACACTGCTAAAAACAGCAATGTAGACATGGGAGGCACTGCTTCAGTGTGTAGAAACATGTAGGGTATACACCCTGGGCATTCAGGGTACTCTAGATGCCTAAACTCTCTCTCTCACCATTCACACTGCTATTTAGACCCAGGCCAGCGGGATGCGCAGTGTCTGTACTCAACATGGTACCATCCATATAGACACAGCCTTACACAGTGGATCAAGGATTTAATTTATCATCATCAAGCTTTTCAATGTAATCACAACACCAATCCATTTTCCTACCTCAGATGGAGTTTGGGTAGGGGGAAAAGACCTGAACCCCAAACTATCCCACTCATGCTCATGTCCCACAACTATAAATGATGGATCCAAACTCTCACTTTATTTTTATCAGAAATAAAGCAACAAGGCTCAAGACAGTCCTTTCAGAGCTACTGCATCAGACTGGTATGAGTGCCTCTGCCTTTTGAGGCCCCCCCAGGTCCACGCTGCAATGCACAGGGACTTCTGAGGGCAATACCACCTGGAGCAGGACAATAAATAAGCAACTAAATTTAAAAATAAGAATTCATGGCCTAAATAAAATCTTTCTAGGCATTTCCTTTGGAAAAGCTGATTAGTGCTGCATGCTTCTAGTATGCACATCATTTATAAGATACACGGTCTCCAGAACCCTCCCTCTGTTTTAGTTTCTCGTCAGGATGGTTTGTTTGCTAATTTAAAAACAGTGTAGCATGAAGTGACAACCTGACAAAGGGGAGAGTGAAGGGTTCCAATAAGCTTTGGCTATTCAGAGTTGTTAGCGACAGTAAGACTAGGGCCACTTGAAGGTATCACAGATCCACAGAGTGCCTCAAGGAGGCTGCTGAACGCAGGTGTACACAAAGGCAATGGGTTTGCCTCTTGCTGGCTCCACAGGCCGATAGTGCACAGAATCCTTCGTGGCACTGAGCAGCTCGACACTATGAACAATTGTGGTTGAATCCAGGAATGGAATAATTAAGTGTGGCCTGAGCTCAACTAGCCTATAAGGATGAAGAGACACCACACAGCACCGTACTATATCAGGCCTTGTGCTTACAGCCCTGCATCCCCTACCAGCTAACTCTCTCAGGCACGCACCCAGAAGGACAGGGCCACCTCAGAACACAGCTGTCCCCCACCCACACTATGTAAAGTGATTCTATACATGGAATTCTCCACCAGGCCCTACATCAGAATGAGGGCTGGACGCTTCACTACAGGTTACCCAAAAGCACTTGGGGCAATGCTCAAGGCTACAGGAGTACAATATTTATGGACAGAGCTAGTCAGAAGTTTGGAAAAGGGCATAAGAGGCTCAACTGCCAGATTCTTCCTCCCCTTGCCCTCATCCATTCCCATTCACTAGATCCACCACTCTGCCCTTGTACGGGAGAAGGGCTGATTTGCCTTTAAATGGAGTGCCACCTTCACAGTAGGCTGAGCCCTGCTGCTTTTGGCTCCACTGGAAGTCTCCCATACTGGCTTTCTTAACACCTATGAGCAACCGAGTGTGAACCTCAAACACTGCCGTTTGCTGCTGCAGTGAGGAGATGGAAAGCAAACCCTGAACAGGCCAGAGACAGCGGCAGGACACAAGCACCACCATCTGTTCTGCCCCCTGCAGATGAGGCTGCCAAAATGCTTAGCTACCAGGGAAGATACCGAGAGATAAACCATTTGTGCCTATGCCCGATGCAGCTGTATAGGGACGTGCTGTAGCATTACTGGTCACTTCCTGCTGTGGCCGTCTCTGGGTGGAGCAATGGAGTGTCTGGCTGAAGTTCGGGTTCCAGACACCAGGAAGAGGCAGCAGCAGCAGCGAGGCTTGGAGTCTGCTTCTCAGTGGGCATTTAACTCCCTAAGGGACAGGTCTCAGTCCACCCTAAGTGCAGTAAGTGCTCTGTGAGAGTATCCCAGTGAGAGACGGTACAGCAAGGGTCCAGCAGGGAGAGGTAGCAGCTACAACAAACTCCATCTCTTAAAGCCAGTGAAGCAGCAATTCCAGTGACTCTCGCTAGGCCTGACTGCAGCTCGCTCCTAGAGCTACAATGGGTCAAGGCAAGACACATTTGTGAGAAAAGCCACCTAATTGCCTAGCTCCCAGGAGTGCAATATCAGTGCACAGACCCCATGGCCCACAGGCTGTAACAGGCACCCAAGTGGGTTAGTGCACTAACATGCTGCTGTTTGAACTGGACAACTTGAAAGAAAGCTCTAAAGCAGACTGCTTACAACGCACAGATATGCTCACTAATGGCTCTGGCTTGCACTGGGTTTGTAGGTCTGAGGTACTGGTAACTAACAGTACAGTCCTGCGCCTTTAGGCTTTGTCTTCGCTGCTGACTAACCACAGCGTAAGCCATCATGGGTCACTGAACACATGCTAGCCTAACCAACTAACGCACAAACACATTGTCAATGTCAGCATGCTGTGTCACACCCCCACTGGTGCTCTACGTGGCTGTGAGAAGCAATACAGCTAACGTGGGCACTATCCTGAGATTCATAGTGCCACAACTCACTGCATTGTTCTATTCTCACATTCACAGGGTGTCTACCCACGCTGGCGATTGCAGGAGTAAGTGGTCTAGGCCCGGGAAATTCACTGGTGGCATTAACCATGCTGGTATGGTGGGTCAGGTGCCCAAGGAAAGGATCCAGCTTGCCCTAATAATCAGACCATCAGCCACTGTTCTTTATGAAGGCAATGTGCACAATTAGTGCACAGGACAGGATGCCCGGGGCTTGTGGGAAGGGATTGGAGGACTATCATCTATCAGTTGCGCTGATTGACCATGGCTAAATGTTTTCACTGCCATTATTCCAGTTTAGCAATGCATGGGATAAGCTAACTCCAGGTCTGCCTATTGTTCGGAGTGTGATGGTTGCATTACCAGACAGTACAGCAAGATGTATGTGGGTGTGAACCCAGGGCATGTTACTGTGAAAACGCACACCTGAACTCAAGTCTTCAGTAAAGAGAAAGCCTTAACGTAGTTTCCAATGAGTGTTCCCAAAAAGGATCTAGTGGCAGATGAGGCTCAAGGAAAGACTGCTCCAGAGGCCTCATTTTGGGTGGCCAGACATACCATTCTTGTTCAGGTCTCCCGTAGTTCTAGTGAAACCCTGAAACAACATGCAGAGAAGGCAGCAAAGCAATGCAAACTTTCAGCACCTCACCACATAAACCTTCCGCAAGAAGTCTCATCTACCATCTGCAGAAAGAATGCTGGAGACTTTCTGCATTAACAAATCGGATAGAACACTGCAAAGAATTATCCCCTCCCCCAAATCCTACCACCGCAAACACCCAAAAGCTGAAAGACAACTGCCAGCTGACGCTCATAGCCCCTTCAGGTCCTGGCCAGGACAAAAACTGTCCACAGGTCAGAACCCCAATCAGACTCCTCCAGCATTGCCTACAGGACTAGAATTAGCAAGTAGTAGCAGAAAAACTTCAGTAACAAAAGGAAAAGCTATAGAAACCAGGACAACCAGGTTGTCAGCTACTAAAGCAGACTGAACTCCTGGCCTCAAAATAGTTGGGGACGAAGGTTGCAGAGAGTGTCAGCAGGCCTGGCTCAAATCAGCCTCCCTCATTAAGAGGTTAGGGAACCTAAGCCTCTGAAGCATCAGCCGCAGCCCAGCTACTCTAGGGCTTACCATACCCAGCTTATCCCCTGTTAATGATTAGCCAAGAGCACAAGGTTAGGGGATACTTAGTGGGAGTGTTCAATCACATGGCCAGAGACTGATCTGCAGCAGTCTGATTTCTGTAAACACCTCTCCCATTTGATTTGAAGAGTGTGGCTATTCCCCAAACACTCTGAAGTGTCTCCCCCACCCCTTCCCAAACTGTATTCACACTCCATAACCCCAAGCTTGTTCCCAGCCTCACTGTAGTGTTCATGTGGTATCAACAGGATAAAGCTGCAGAAAAAAAAGTGAATAATCTTGTTTCTCAATTTAAATATATATATAAAATATATATATTTTAAAAGGTTTAGAAAAAGCTTCTAATTTGTAGCTAGTTTTACATATAGATTACAAGAAATGTACAACTCCCTCCTCACACAGTTCCGAACTGGGGGGCCTGCCAGTTCTTCCCCCAATCAGACACATAATTGAATGTCAAGTGTATTTATTCTCAGCACGGCTTTGAAAGGCAAATCTGCCATTGGTACCACCTTCTTAGGGGGAGAGATACCCAGTAAGCCAAGGGAGACATGTGGTTACATTGGCTTTCAATATAGAAAGCCCTTAGATTAGTAAAAAAATATTTCATCTATAGAAAATGCCCTTCTGAAAAGCAACCAGGGCTCTGTTAAGGCCACACCCAGGCTTCCCCTTTCTCTGCTGTATCAAGACAGCCCAGAAACAAACTCCCAAAGATGTTTTGGAGTCCCAGCAACAACAATCAGCACCTGTGTCTACTTTCCAGCAGCCTGCTGTAACAGGAAAGTGCTTAGAACAGCACAGGACTTCTCTAGAACATGCTACGCATTCAACGGGCCCAGTTGGCACAGTGAAATTAAACTGTATGTCCTCCTCTTCTGCCTAGGTGAGCAAAGGGAAGCCTCCCTGGCTGCCACCCGCCCAACCCTTCAGATGGGTGCAGAATGGTGGGGTACTTTGAAACCGATCCATCTGGCACCCTACCCTATTCCTAATAGGCTTCTGCCAAGAGGCTCCTTCCAATTCTTCTAAAAGTCTGTGGAGTACAAGCACAAGGCTGGAGGCTGAAGGAAGAGGCCCAGCTACTCCATCCCAGAGGGCAAGGTGGGGACAGAATAGGCCCCTTCTGACAGCCTGAGACATTGGGCGAACTGCTGCTATGGCAGAGATAAGGCAGCCTCCAACACATCCACCCTTTGTGTGGGATAACGCTGTTGTCTGGCATAACAGCCTTTGGCCAAGCTTGGGGATTTTCACCAGAGCTCCTCTTCGAATGTGCACAGCCCCGGGGCTTCTGCAGAAGATCCATGGCAGGTCAGGATTTTTAGGAAGAGAAGCAGCACACAACAGGATTTTTTTCAAAACTCTTCCTATTGCAACCAGGCGCAGATTTGCCCCCTTCCTCCCAGGTGGGCAGTTCTGTCTGCCCCAGGCATGGCGTGCAGAGAAGCTGTGTCCAGTGCGCTCTGTTTTTTCAGACTCTGCCAGGGGTGGGAAGCGAAGTCAGGACCCAACATTCAGAAACCTGAAGGACACTAGGAAGAAGAAAAACAAAGCAGGTGGTTAGATCTCAGCCTCAAATGGAGCTGTGGACAGAAACGATTTGGGGGTAATTATCATTAAGCAGAAGCATCCTATTCCAGTTGGGGATGCACACGCTGAGAAACCTCTGTAGGGGAAGAGATTTCACACCAATGCAGGGTGAAGTATACAGCAAGACCCTGTCCACACTCAGAGCGGGATTGAGCGGAGGGGAAAGCAAAGGGAACAACACAGGGTCTCAAAAGTGAGTGCTCCCCAGAGGAGCTAAAGCAAGACTGCTTAGCCTGAAGAGCTTTGCTTAAGGAAGGGTCCTGATAACACTAGAACTAGGAGGAGAAGCAGCCAGACAGGAAAGTCCCTCTTCCCTTTTGGGCAGCCACCAGAGTTAACTGCAAGAGAAACAGACTGTGGCTGAGCATGGGTCTCCTGGGCCCTGCACACCAGGAAGAGCCTTTCACCTGCACGGCCACTTTAAGAAGCTCTGTTTGAACACATCAAAAACTACAAATGCACATTTCGGACTACAGTCAAAAGACCAGTCTTACAGGAAAACCTTCCCAGGCTTGGTCCCTCACCATAGCCACAGCATCAGCCTACAAGCAGCCAAAAGAGGAAGAACAGCTCCTTCTAATAACCCTTTGGAATAGTTAATCAACGGCTAAGAGAGAAAGATTAGGATGGGAACCTCCACTTGTGAGCTTTTGACCTGCTTCAGAAGGCAGTGTCAAAACGCCAGTGGAGCACATGGAGGACTGACTTGTAAAGCCATCCAAGCAACACCAGCATTGCAGCATCTAGCAACAGCACGGTGGAGACAACTGTGGGGGTGGGAGGGGATGTTACTCATTTCTGTATAGGGAACAAAGGTACAAGAGTGAGCAGCCCTGGGAAAAGCACAAAAGCAACTGAGCAGATTCCTCTTTGAAGTTCTGGGGGGGAGAGGGGGAGGGGAGGAGTACGTGTCAAAACCCAGCCTGGCGAGCAAGAGAGAGAGAGACAGAACCAAGAGTGGGCTGTGGTCAAGGGACATAGGAGGTTCTGTGGGCAGTAAGGAATCTGTACAGACAGTTTTATTTCACCATTTTGAATCATTCAACTAGCATGAAAAACTCCACCAGGAATTGATGGAGAAGGTTTTGGATTTCCCATTTGCCTAGGGACAGAAAGTAAATGTATAGAAAATAGGCAGCTCCTTTCCCATGAATGGCGCACAACTAAATCACCAGAAATCAAGTATGCACTGAGAAACAGTAATCAGAAATCTGGAAACAAGGAGCCAAACAAGACGACTTTGCGCTATTCAAGTGGGACCAAGTGCCAGCCCCACGTGTCCAGCTCAGGATCACAGGTCCTCTAAAATGCTTAGACTAAGCACTGAGAGAGGATGATTGATCTTCTAGGTCTGTAGGCACCATACATACAAGTGGCTGTGTATAACAAACTCCACACTGTGGCTCCATAGTCTTTTTGCATTACCCTATTAAATCTATGGTGGAGGACTCTCATAAGTCACTTTGTATAACATCTGGTATGCACCCAGTGCTTTAACGAACAGAACAACAGGCTCTTGCTCCAAGGAGCTGACGACACAGCCAGAGGGACAGGGTTCACATTCTCAGGGAAGGACAAGTATTCCCACCACATGTGCCAAAGGGAGCTGAAGGGGGGTGGAAATTATTTTTGTTGTTAGGCTGTGATTCAGCTTGGATGCAGAGAAGGCAGTGTTTTCTGAGCTCAGAACGGAGAAAACTCCTGGCTTCAAATTAACTCCCTATGAGACTTTGAGCACATCACTTAACCTCTGTTCAGATTTCCCCATTTGTAAAGCTGGGCTGAAAATCCTGACCTACCTCCTAGGGCTCATAGGAGGGTTTGCTAAGCACTGTGACGTGCCTGTGTCAGCTTGGGGGCCTCTCTTTGGAGATGGGGCCTTGCTGCGCCCCTTGAGAGCTTGTGTTTTATTTTTGGGCACTATTAGGAAGTGGTAAGTTAGGCTGCTATTTGACTCCCTTTACCTCCTGAAGGGGAACGCTTCCCAACATCCAGATTCATTTAGGCTCTGTACACACCACACGGCATGACAACAGTGGTATTTGCTGAGTGCCAGTGTGCTCCACAAGCTGGACCCCTAGACTGAGATGCTTACAGTCCAGTCAGACAGAGCCCCCAGAAGTCCACTGGCAAGATGGTGCCAGCTTAGAGTGGTTGTTCACATTAGTGGTGCAGGCAAGTTTCAGTGACAGAGGTTGATCTTCATGGGCTTCTGGGAAGGAACGTGTTTGCAGGAGGGATCTGAACACAGACAGTCAACACCTAGCATGCTAGAGCAAGAGTTATTTGGTAGCCAGGCATTTCCAAAGAGACGCTGTCCCTACAAACCTGTGGGCTGAGGGACATCGAACCAAGACCACATCATAGCTGTGGAACCAGTGAACCATGGCATTTCCAGCCTAAAGGATTCATAACTTGTGCCAGGGAAGGGAGGCTACAAATTCAGGGTTCTAGCCTGCTTCCACTGACTCAGAAACTACAGGTAAGGGCCCATAAATGGCTTCACTGAATAAAACGGAAGTTGTGTTTTTAAGACTAAGATCTTCAGCCTTCTCACTGATGCACTGAGTTATAGATTTCGGTGTTTTCACCTTCATACCTAAATACAGAGAAATACACAGTATTTTCTGACCTTTACTAGTGTTCTCCATGGGCTTTTCTAGAAAGCCTTCTGCTATTTCTTGCCCATCCTCCCTGCTCCCATTCAACTCCCTTTCCTAGGATCTCTATTCCCTTCAGCCATACTTTTCATGGTCCATTATCCCAACTGCACTGCTGCTCCCTTCTTGGGAGCTCTCCCCCTCCATCCTCCTGTGCTGATCACTAGCCTCAGGCTATGGATGAGATTCAAAAGTTTTACCAGGTGCAGCAGATAAAAGCAAATACCTCTGGATTGCTGGACATTTGGAGAATCTTCTACAGTTCTTGACTGGACTCTCTCTGCCCTGTGCTAGTTGGCTTTTGCTCCAATATCCTCCAAACCTGCCCCTCTCACCTTCTTCTCACTTGCCCCATCCTCAGCACAAACCTTCACTTCTTTTTTATTTCCATTTAGTTGCTCCACCTCCTGAGTAAACCCACCCCCCAAAACCTGTGGAGCTAGCATCCCATTTCTTTCCATCACATTGGTCATTCTGCTTGTGAGTTCTATCCCAGCTACCACCCTGTGAGTGTCCGGTCTATTTAGACTGCGAGCTTCAGGGCAGGGATTGTCTGCTCCTTTTTGTACATTGCTCAATGCACCTTAGGACCCCATTCTTGGTTGGCCGTTAGGCAATAATAGTTTCTAAGGACTGAACGCAAATAACCAAGAGACACAGGAGGGGGCAGTACACATGCCCTTTGCTTCCCTCCTCTTACACCTGAATGTGAAATTGCTGTTTTATTCCTGGGGGAATTCTGCGAACAATATTTTAAAATTCTGCAAAATTCTGCATATTTTATTTGTCAAAACAACACAATATAATCATGTCAGTTTCAATTATTTTGGAAATTTATTTCAAAATACCTGTCAGCAAGTAGGTCTGTAATAATACAGACAAAAAAAATTAGGAACTGCTTTTTGACAAATAGATTCCTTACTAGACAAATTAATATAGAACTCTGAGTAATTCATTTAAAATACAATACAAAAATGTATTTCCCGCAGCCCTCAGAAGCAGTGCAAAGGCTTGGGGGAGTCAGGGGTAACAGAGGTCGGAGGAGCTGAAGGAGCCTGGGAGTGAGCCTGGAGGGTTATTGGGTGGGAGAAGTATGGAACAGGTGTTTTTATGGGAGGGGGGGGATTGTTAGGGAGTTGGGGAGCCTCCCCCATGCAGACCCTGACTGACTACTAGCCTCTCCCATTGACTCTGGCAAATCTGCCCCCATTCCCATGTGTCCCTGCAGCCTCCCTTTCCTCTTCCCATGTGGCCCTGCAGCCCCCTACCCCCCCAACCGATTCAGCCCCTGGCTAAATGCTGTCTCCCCATTAGCTCCTGAGCCCCCGCCCCAGTCTGTCCCTCCCATTAGCCCTTCTGAACCCCAGTTTGTGACCCCCCCCAGCAGCCTCGTGTGCCCCACTCTGCCCCCACCCGCCATATCCCATGCCTCCTAATCTGTCTCCATGGGCAGGATACGGTGATGAATGCAGCCAGCTGCTGGCTGTTACTGCCAGTCAGCCACTGCAGTCTGTTCTGGCGCCACAGCAGCCTCTGCTGGGCTAAAGGTGGAACTACAGCTCTTATGAGGCAGAATGTATTTTCTGCTCAGAAAAAAAAAATTCTGCGCCAGACATGAATTCTACACACATGCAATGGTGCAGAATTCCCCCAGGACTACTGTTTAATGCAATTCACTGAGAATGATGTGGGGATGAGAAGCTTCCTGCTGATGTCTGATAGCAAACTTCAGAACCCATTACAGATTTCTGCTTCTTTACTGCTGGGGACACCAACTGTGGTGTCTCTGGCGCACATTTCCCATAGAATGTCTCCCAAATCCCTATGCCTAGCACTTACCAGATTTGTTTCAATTCATCCAAAATTATCCTGCATCTCTTGTTCCATGGTCCAGATGGGAAAGCTAAGCAGCAATGCTCTGGACACACATCAGTCCCCCGCCGCATGCATCCAAAGTATGGCCAGCTGTTGGCCACAAATCCTTAGTTAGATTCTACCCTCTGATAAACATTCCTTAGTATAATACACAGCTGCTTTCAAAAAGACATGGCATCTAATCAGAAGACCGCTCATCTGGTTTAGCCCCTTCAAGACTCTGCACTGCGCACAGTACATACACTAGATCATGGATAGTCTATTTTTAGTCAAGGTCCAAATTTCTTGCGCAAGGTACAGTCAAGATCCAGCCTCCAGAGAAAATAATTAAAAAAATGATAAGTAATTAAGAAGATTTCAGGGGCCGTTCAAAAGCATCTGGCAGTCTTGATCTGGCCTACAGCTCGCCTACTGCACTAGCTCATGGGTCATGCATTGCCAAACGAGAGAGGTCCCAGGAGGGAAAAAGTCAAGACTGCAGCACTAGTTTATGCACCCCAATATTCAGCCCCCTCCTAAAGCAACCATGAGCTTTGGAAACCCAAGTCACAATTATAGGATTTGCGATTTCTCACAGAGTGGAAATATTCCCAGGTCAGAATGAACCAGGGCTGGTGATGCACACAATGGTCACAACAAAGCTTTGCTATGGATATTGTCATGCATTATATCAGAGCAACTGCCACAGAAAAGAATCACTACCTCTCAGTCTTTGCCCTTGGGAAGTACACAGAAGCAACGTCTCAGAAACTACACTGTACCAAATCTGGGTGTTTCTACCACCACTTAATGAGGTCGTCCTCCCAGCCCACAACTGACTTTTCATTTAATTTCTGTGAGACTCAAATGAACAAACGCACAGTCACAAACACTTACAGTGTTTGAACTAGGTCCAGTGATTAATTCCTAGGAGAGGGGAGAAGGTTTTGCTGGTTAACTCCACTAGGGAAGGGATCTTTTCTCAGTACAATAAATGTAATACTGCTGTCAAACGGAATGCTCCTTATTTTTTCAATGCAGACAGTCTGCAGGGTTCACAGATGGGCCACACAACCCCGACCATATGCCTCAGGAGAGGGAGTTAATTCTATCCAAGTATCTGCAGCTAGCATTACATCAGTGTGTTCATGGGTCTACGTGTCACAGGCCCAGACGACAACTATCCAAGTCTCTCCAGATCACTGTTCAGTTTGGCATGGTTTGCTGCCCAATAGTTTCTCAGACTTTATTATTGTTGAACGTACAACTTATGAGCTTCCTGAAGGGTCTAGAGTATGATCCTAACACTGACCTCAGAGGTTTCCCACTTGGTAACACTACTGTTTGCCAGACAATATCCAATCCATGCTCAGGTATTTTTATTTAATTGAGATTTTTTTATTTCTTGTGCAATTATGTCTCGCTGAAATCCAAGTCTACAATATGCATAGCAATCCCACGATTTAACTGCCAAGGCAGTAAATCAAAGTGCTATAAACTAAGGTTTATTCCATCCCTCTAGATCAGGTTGTAATTCCTTGGCAAGAGAAGAATGCCATTTTTATCTCTGGCCCTTGCATGCAGTTATGACAATATTCTCTCTTCAATCCTCAACCAAACTGATGTCAGTGGAAGGTCTGCACAAATATCAGGGTAGAAACTCAGTAGGAAGACATGCTCCCACTAAGGAGAGCCATTATTTGTGCTCCCAGTGTATCTACCTTCCTGCCCCACCCCACCCACCCACAAGTTTTCTCCCTTTACCCTTGTGTTTACTCTGTTCTTTCCTTTGCATTGCATTGCCTTCCCTTCCCTGCAGCAATTACCAATTCTCTGGCCCCGCCTTCCATTCCACCTGCTGAAGGTGTTAGTAATGAAATACTAAATATTGACATTTAGTCTTAACAGACTGTATAGTTGATATGTCAATGGGATTAAGGGAGGGGCAGGGAGCCACTGTGCCATGCTGTCTGGAGACTCAGGCAGACAGTGTTGCACTGGTTACATTCAGGTCACATTTGGAATGGTTGTTTCACAATCATGTTTGCTAGGAACTTTGTAAAATTAAAGCAAACATTCTACAGAATCTGAATACGAACAGATCAGGTGGGCTGAGGTTGACACCACTGTTCTACATACATAAAGTAGCACTTTACCTATGAGATCAGAAGAATATGCTCTGACATCACAAGCACAGCATTATGGCTACTGTATGGAGGAGAGGCTCTTATGTGTAGTGCAGTCTTCTTCAGTATTGAGGAGCTCACCAGAATCAAGCTGTTAGCCAATGCCAACACTAATGTAGTGTACCACATGGCAAATTAGAAACAATTTCTAGTTAAAAATACTTCTGCCTTAAAATGTTGCATTAGAAGAACTTGTTTTATAAATGTATTAGTTTGTGCTGCTTAGCTTCCCTTCTGAAGCATGAAGATGGCGGGTTTTAGTTTGAACTAATCCTTCAGGAAAGGGTGAAACATTCATCGGCAGGTATCCAGCCAGACAAAGCCCCAAACAATTCATTCCTGAAACTAGTGTTTTTGAAGCACACTACACAGGGACATCAACTCACTTAGACTGCTGCATCTTTCACAGAACAAGCAATTGTCAGTCTCACTGGAAACCTGGGCACCAGTTTTCTGAACTGCCACTTCATTAGTGGTGTGGGAAGCAGTTCTCTCCAAATGGTTCAGAGAACAAATTAAAGGAACTAACATGAAGCCACTCAGCATTTACTGCTTAAGATTGGGTAACTGACATTTGAGAGTCCCATTAAACTCCTGCTTTTAATAATCTCCCTCCAACAGCACGTTGGAAGATAATGAGAAATGTTTCAAAAAGTGAAAAGCCATATGCAAACAAATGACAGATTGATACCACCCACAGTTGGCCAGAAGGTGGGTGTCTTCCCCACAAAAACCAGGAGGCCCTAGCAGAGTTTACCAGACAAGATGATTTGAAGGAGCCTTTTTAGAGGCATGTGATTTAGAGACTTGATAGTAATTGAAAAGAAAGCCCCCTCCTCTCCTTCCCTGAAACCAAGACAAAAATGTTTCTAGGCTTTTATTCCCACCCACAAACAGGTCCTCTCACAAAGGGGATTCTAACACCACATTCTAATGCCCTCTGAAGCTAGCAATTTAACTAAACTCCATTCCCCACAGCTCTCCAGTAGGAAGAGTTTATTTTATTTTCTAAAGTATTTGTCGCCTTCTCCTAAACATGGAATATCACTTACAGATCCCAGGAAACAACCAGCAGTTGTGCAGTGCTGCCCAGTGACAATACCAGAAGGAAATCCAATGGCCAGGCAAGCTGGGTCTGGGGAGGTGCATTCTAAGCAGAGGGAAAATCCGAGTGGGTCTCAGTCACAGACAGCTCAGTTCCCAGCATTTATTTAGACACCTACCTTACTCGCGACTCCTTCCTGTGAATAGACCCCTTTACTGGAACACAGCCACAATACACTTGGCTCCCAAAACCAAGTCAGGACTGCTGCATGTGATCGAAGAGCAATTCTGAATCAGTTCCTCACAACATCAAAGCTATTCAAGGAGCAAGTTGAGAGACTCTGGCAGGTTAGGAAAGAGGGATGTGCGCTCAGAGGCCAGATGCCAAAACAAGCTTCCTAACTCATTTCTGGGATTGAAGGGAAGCCCATCCTGCTCCTAAGAAGGACTTGCTTTTCAATCATAGGTGCGCACTGCATGAGTGAGAAAAGCCTCTGCTAACTCCATCAGTGTTGGCAGCAGCTTCCATGGCTAAAGCAAGTCAGTAATTACACCAGATTTGTGCAACCTCACATTTCTTACAAGGTATAGAGGGGCCATGTTCCCAAAAGAAAATTGTAAATGCAGGAAAGCTTATGCAGGGAAGTCTAAGGTGCAAGAATTATAAACAGTATCATCTTATCTCCAGAATAGCTGGAACGACATAGGAAGCGCAAGGGCTCAGGAGCTGTATGCAGGTACACTGTCACCCAATGGCATAGGGAGGCATTACTGTTTCTTTTTAAAAGCTATAAGGAGAGAGAATATGGCATTGCACATTAAGTGTTTCCAGGAAGTTCTGACACTAGAGTGGTCTCACAGATCTACTCTATAGAAAGCATTTTCCCAGTCCAAAAGTTTAATTAAACCTGCACAGAAATGCCAGAGAGAGCATCCTCCAGCACTCACTGTGAAGAGCACACAGAGCAAGCCACTCCACTAACCAGACTCCAGCAGCTCAAGAGACAAGAAAGCAAAAGGACTTGAAAATTACAAGTAGCTTCAATACCATCTACCTCTGAAGCTCATTTCTCCTCTAGGCAGGGCAGCCACAGTAGCTTTCAGCAATCAAGATACTGCCACTTTTTAAACAGATGTACCTCACTAGTACAGAACTGGGCATTTGAGGACTGCAAGGGGAACATCCCAGCTCAAGCTGGCAGCGTCTGTTAGAAATCTACAGAGTATTTGACAAACTTGCCTACCTTTTTGTATTCCTGAAGTTAACTTGGTACCCAAGTATGGTTGGAGGCCTGGGAGGTGTTGGGGTAGCTGGGAGTAGACAGAATGGGTTCAAAGTTGAAATCCAGTCCTTCTCCATCCATGAGGTCACTGTTGATTATGTAATCCACATCACATTCAAGGTTCTCCATGTACATGTCAACGTCCAGGTCAGTGGGCAGCCTGTCCTGGTTCACTCCAAAGGGGGCAGAGCTAACAGAAGAGAGAAGTGACTGGGTGCCCTGATGGACTGCTTGGGCCGTTGGTGCTGGGACTGGGGCCTTCAGAGTGGGCATGCTGGCTGTGTTTTGAGGAGATGCCACTGCAGAAAGCATAGATGGCAAAGCACTGACACTTATTGACTCTGATTGCTGCTCCAAAGGTTTTTCTCGTGGGTTGACTGGGCTTGTTTTATTCTGGGTGACTTGTCCACCTAGAAGCAGAAAAGTCTGGCTGTTTAGCCTGCTTCCAGTTTGAGGGAGTATTGGATCCACCTGAGTCATCATCACATCGCTGGGAGGTGGAGAGCTTGATGTCAGGAGAGCTTCAAGAGTCTGAGGGCCAGAGAAACGGTTAACAGAACTCTGCAGTGAGATATCAACAGGGTTAAACAGAGAGGTGCCAAAAGTAGAGGTCTGACCAGCTGAATTCTGGGTCCTCAAAGAGAAGCTGGAATCTCTCTGGACTGAGCCACTTGAGGCAGACTGCTGGGTGGACAGCATAGATGAACTGGGTGACATCAGGTTTAACCCATCAATGAGTTCAAGCTCCTCAGCCACGGTCGGTGGGACGTTGCTGGATGCACTGGAGTACACTAGAGAAGGGAGAAGCTTTTCATCTGGGAGGTCGTCCTGCTCAGGCATGATAGGAGACAGCCTGGCACTAGTGGTACTCGCATTGGAACTGGTTCGAGGCCGGAAACTGGTCCACACATCGGAGTCCTCATTATTCCTTGATGATGGGCTCCCAGGCCATTTGGGGAACTGGGAGCCAGGGCTGTCGGCAGTAGCTTCCGGAGCTGCTTGGAGTGAGGCCTTCTTTTTGGATGCTTTACCTCTGACTTTTGCCAGTTTGCTGCTGTTGTCCATGGAGGCAGCTCTCCTCCTTGGTGCTTTCCCACTTTTACCACCTTCAGGATTGAGCATCCACCAAGAACTCTTCCCTGTAGCTTCATTATGCACTTTAATGAACTTGCTGTGCAGGGATAAGTTGTGTCTAATAGAGTTCTGAAAAAAACAGAAAAGACAGCACGTTAGCCCCATTTGTACAGATTACATAAACAGATCCGATTCCTCATCGGAAGCTTGGCATGCGCAGCATATATATTCCTACTAGATTCCACTTTGTAGAGAGACTTGAGTTTCTAAAGGAATCTTGAGTGTTAGGAGTTTCTTCAGAGGGAACTAATGCCAAACTCAAAGGATGGAGCAACCTTAACTGTGCTAGAGAGCATGAGGCCAGCATAAGGATTCAGTAGACAGCATCGTCCTGAAAAAAGCAACCAACACTGAAGAATGTTTATTGAGTGAGTATTAAAGATTTTGTAACAATGGAACAGCTGAATGCAATGAGCACAGGCTAGGCAGCTTCCATAGCACAGCTGCAAATTTACTCTCCCATCCAGGAAGACCTAGCATGTCCCTTGCAGATACAGCCATGGCATGTATATATGATGGGTCAAAACAAACTTAAGTGTGGTCCTAAGGAAGAGGGATAATGCGTGGGGAGTGGCTTCTTACAATGGGAGCACACCATATGTGAAAACCTTGGCACAGCAGTGAGGGAGAAAGACCCTGAACTCAGTAAGACCACTACCACACTCAAACACTTAGAAAGAGAGAACGAACACGAACAGGGTAATAGGAAGTAAACCTTATTTTGATGCCTTCATCTAGTGGGGGACATGAGTCACAGCCACGGTTCTGGAGGTTCCCCATCCCACCCCACAAAGAGGAAGCCACTTTTCAGCAATCTGTATGATCACTATTGGGGGTGGGGGCGGAGAAAGAGATCAATGATAATACCCAACCAGAAACACAGCATTTGCACCTCTCATTCTATATACACCTACCCAGGCCTAATTTGATCTTTCCATCTAGCAAGAAAATACTTTTCCACTGCCTTCCTAGTGCTCCTGAAAATGACAAACCGAAACACATATTCTGTCTGCCATTATCATAGGTACCAATAGCTGCAGGCGAAGAGTGTCTAACGACTGACACTTCAGACCCAACAGAAGAAGTTCCCATTGTTTGAGCGGGTCCTACGTAAACACAAACTTTTCTTCCCCAAGTTTCGCAGTGGTGGGTTTGTTTAATGTTTACCTTGAACTAGTTAAGGAAGCCAAATTTTTCCTGCTCTAAGAGGCTATATTGCTTCCATGACAGGGATCCCCGGGCTGCCTCAACCCAGTATAAGATGGAGCAGATTGCAGAGGCCCCCAGCTTTAACCCATATAGCCAAGACAGTCTGAACGGAGTTAACTGGGTGCTCCTGTTGCCCTCCTTACATCCTCTCCCACCCCAGCCAAGCTACAGCTCCTTTTCTTTCTCCCAACTGCTTATCAGCCTCTCCCCCAACCTCTACCCACTGCTGACAAAGAAGAATCCCTCAGAGCAGGCAGAGTTCCAATAACCCCATCATGGCCTCGTCAGCACCTAGCTATGCTGGATTCTGTGTCAGTTTTGCCTTGCTCATCAGATCTCTTGCCCACCTCCCCGAAATGAAGCAGGAGTGGGACTAGCAACACAGAGTCAGTGGAGACTACTCCTGCAGTGGGAAGAAGCTGCAGGACTGGGTCTGCCCCGAGTCCCATCCTAGACATTCCCCTAGCCAAAACCACCTCCCTGAACCCTGAACTAGTCAGTCCTGAAGGCATACAAATTCCTCACAACTAGTCAGCATGCTAGGTTACCATGGAGTTGTGATCCTCAGAGACTACCTGTACCAGTAAATAATGTTTCATCATTGCTCATGTGGTGACATAGGTTCAGTAACATGCACAACTTAATGGCTCCCTAGTCTGAAGTTTTCTTTTAAATAAACTGATCAGTGATCCCCAAATCCCACACAGCCAATTCAGCATGGTATCCTGTCTCCTGCAGAGGCTGACAACTTTGTTCTTCCAAAAAAAGACTACACATGAACATTATTGATTTAAAATAGGATTTTCTGCAGCCACCACTAGCAAGGACAAGAGCCTCATCTTCCCTTCCAACAGTTAAGCTCTGAACTCCTGCATTATCCCAGTCTCATCAGGAACTAGACAGCAGCTAGTATATACACCCCACCATGGAAAGAATGACTGCTATTGCACAAACAGAAGGGTTTTCGCTCAGTGCACTTCTACGGGACTTTAAACCACATGGCCTAGAACAACATGTACAGAAAAAGAAGGAAGATTGTGTCTCTGGGTAATAGGCCAGATGAGCTGTGAGACCTAGTTTATGGCCGGAACTACAATCAGCTAATTGCTACATCAACAAAAATCCTCTACATGACTGCAAACCCTTCAGTTACACTGAAACCTACAGGAACAGGCCACCATTTTTGGCTTAAGTGGAAACTTTAGTTTACAGTTTTCCAGCTCTCTGGCGGCATGGAGGTTACAAACAAGACACCCTGAAACAAAGCCAATACTCATGTCAACACAGTTGTCAGCAGCCCATAAACAGTTTTGTCATGTGTACACCTCAGACCTCAAGCACTCTTCATGCACATCAGGAGGCTGTGATGAAGCCATACACATTGCGATTCTGGGTACAGTAACCCTAGCAGAAGGGCTAGGCCAATACTGAAAATGAACTCAAGTGTCCAGATCTTCTAAAGCAGAATTAAAGAGCTGACTTGCCTCCAACCCTGTTGATTTCACAGACAATGCAAGGGGCTTCCTGTAGTTAATGCCCTTATGAAAGCAGGGAGGTCACCTACCCAAAACATGAACTGGAGAAAGTTCAGAAGTGCAGAAGTTAGGTGACACTTACAGAATTCTGAGAATGAAGGGGAGATTTTGTTTCAAGAAGGTGGCCCCCATTTTTGTCATCGGCAGGATATTATCCCACTGTGACTAAACGTGAAGAGTAAGGAACAAGTTGTAAAATTAAGGGGGCATTTCCCAATAGGTTTATCATACTGGGTCAAGCAAGGTGGCCTCACCCAGCAATTGTTCCTGCCAATGGTCCTTGGCCTGACTTTTATTGGAGGCAACAGTTCTTGTCCAAATGACAAAAGCTGACTGGTATTAGCTAGATTTACTCTCTCCTTCCCTAACTATCTGGGCTCTCTTTCTTCCTTCCCAACTGCCTTACTACTCTGAAAGCACTTGTTACCACTGCCAGCATTACACTCCCAACACTAATATCACCTTGAAGGTGCATCTACACTAGACCTTTTTTCACCATTTGTCTTACATTGATACAGCTGGTTGGCTGTATCACCTATGGAAATACCAGAGTAGACCAGAAACAAGCATGTTTACCACTGTCAGGCTACAAGATGGCAAAAAAATGCTTGTGTCCATTCTAGTGTTACCACCAGCACTAGTACCACAGGCAAACAGTATGGAAATCATAGTGCAGACAAGGTTCTAGTGTCCAATGTCAAGACTACTGCTAGAAATCTTAGACCATACCCTCTCCAAGACAGGAATGGTACCTATCTCTATGCCTGGAAAGAGCCTAGCATGTTATGGGCACTCCCACAGCTAAATGCAGATGTATACAAAAAACCCAAACCCCATACATCTCTGTCAGCATCCATCTCTCAAACATTTGTTTAGCTATTTAATGACAAAGGATTTAAGATCGCAAAGTTAGCATTGAAGAGGGTCTGCAAAGCAAAGCTGCAATGGACTTGTTGGGCAGCTGCTTCTGCTGCAGGGGGTTTTCAGTTATCTAACAGCATTTCCCATGCATGGCTTCAGGGTCCCTTTCATGCCCTCTCCCCCCAGAATGAACACACCAGGTTGAGCCACAAGGCTGCAGTCATCTATTAATGATATTCCATTAAATGCATGCAGTGGGTCCCATGTCTTTTCTGTTCGTCTACAGAATGGGGGATTGGGAGATGAGGATCTTAAAATGCGCTATGGAATGAAGGATCTGGAAGGCCAACTGATTTAAGCCAAGCCATGTGGCTATTTATATGGATAACTCCAAAGTCATTTGGGATTGGACGGGATAGGAGGGAACAGCTGTTATAATCAGCACCAACTTCCCAGCAACAGCCTTCTTGGGGAGCTCCCTCAGCTATGTAGCAGTGTCTCTGCAGCATTCTTCCAGAGGAGCAAATTTCTTTCCAAAAGCAAAGCACCTGGGGACAGAGAAAAGTGACACCAAAAATCTTCCAAGACAATTAGACTGGTGATGCATATAGCAGGCAATGTTCCGTCTGGAAGAGCACCCACCCCTGAGAAAAGTACAGTGCCTTCTAGGACTAAGACTCTTAGGGGCGGTCTACACGGGCAGCGCTTTAACGTGGCTTGTGTGCAGAGCGCTGGGAAAAAGAGCTCTCCCAGTGCTCTAAAAAACCCCCACCTCCACGAGGGGCGTAGCTCCCAGTCTACACTGGTGCTTTACAGTGCTGAAGCTTGCTGCACTCATGGGGGCTGTTTTTTCACACCCCTGAGCAAGAAAGTTGCAGCGCTGTAAATCGCCAGTGTAGACAAGCCCTTAGAGGATCTGGGGTGGGGCCTGTGTGTTCAGTTAAGCACACCTTGTTTTTCCTGTAGAGTTCACTGTGAACAGCAAGACGCAGGGCTGAATACCTGGCTGCGTTAGGAAGGTGCTCTCTATACAGGACCATTAGTAAGGCTATTAACAAGTATTAATAAGATCATGCTTGAGCAATGAGACCCTACACAACCTGGCACCCCTCATCCCAACCTTTCTGTTCTCATCTGGTTCCATTTCCCCCTGCCCCTGCGTGCGCACACACACCACCACCAGTAACCACCCATTCTGTATTGTTCTCCCATTCATCTCTGCACCTTATTCTACAGGTTTCAGAGTAGCAGCCGTGTTAGTCTGTATTCGCAAAAAGAGAAGGAGTACTTGTGGCACCTTAGAGACTAACCAATTTATTTGAGCATAAGCTTTCATGAGCTACAGCTCACTACTTGGCTCCCACAAACCCTCCCTCGTCCTGGCTTTCACCCTCTCCTCCAAGTCACATCTTCCAAAAGGTCTAGTAATCTTAATTCGCTCCCCTAAAAAGTGCTGAGGTGTGA